GCGAATATCAAGTGACTTGCCATATAAGAAGTTCGTAGTAATTTCAAACTGCTTTATCTAACCTGTCTGTTTTAACATCAGTTTTGTTGAAGTGCCAGTTAAATAAATTAAAACAATTAAATAAATAAAGCAAATAAATGAATCCTTTACAAATGATGAACAAATTCAGCTACGCTCAAAGGCAACTTATTACTGTAGTATGCACCTGACGAGATACAGCTAAATATGCCAGACAATAAATTGTGCACTCTATTGTTTGTGTCTTATTTGATCAAATTTACAACGGGGAAAGATTGCTTTAAAAAAATACATGTTTAATATTATCGACTTTTCTATTTAATTCCTGTAGGTGGTTGCGATAGGGACCACAGCACACCGGTAAGTCCCAGGGACCTTTAATGCTGTAAAAAGGGCTATGGCTTTATCAGTTGCCCTTTGCGACATACATGATGGGTTGTAATGCCTGCTTCTCTTGTGGGCACATGTAACGCTGGCAACCATTTCTGGTCAACATAAATTCCTAAACGCTTTCTTTTTCTTTCCTGCAACCCCATTTTCTCATATCCTTCTCGCAGATTGGAGCATAAGAGTCGAGAGAAAATAGCCCCCCACTCCCGTGGATTTTTGTGTGTGTGGGTACCAGTACTAGGATTCCGTGGAACAAAGACATATTTACATGGAAATCAACACCTTATCTAATGAAAGTAGATCTGTATATACAACAATAATAAGTAGACTAACGCTGTTCTTTGTCCACGTAATGAGAAGAGAGGTATTGGAAAACATGGTGACATCTGGAAAGATCAGTGGAAGGAGGTGCAGAGAGATGATGCTGGATGGGCTGAAACGACGGCATGGAGGGATATCATCAAGAGAGTTGTTCCAGTCAACTAGGAATCGTGATCTGTGGAGATGCATGAGCGCCTACGCCAGTTGGCAGGGCACATGATGATGACCAAGAATATCTTGAACTGAAAACAGGGCATTCCAATAATACTTTGACCTCACACAAAACGCCAGTTCTGGAATAAGACTAAAGTCCAGAAGTGGATAAACAACCAACACTTTCAACCGGAGTTCACGGCCGGTGGATGCGACGACTACTACTACTAATACTACTGGGGAGATGCCGTGGCGAAGCGGCTAGACGCTCGCGTTAGGATAGGAAGGTCGTGGGATCGCTCCCTGGCGGAGAAGGACTTAAAAAATTTTTTTTTTAAATGTCCTTGACTCCCAGCCTTGAGTGGGTACCAGGTGCAGTCCCGGGAAGTAAAGGCGGCCGGTGTGATGCTGACCACATCCCCCATCTTGTGCCGATTGGTCTGTAAAAAATATAGGGCTAGCCTTATATGCCTAAGGGCGTGGAAAAGAAACCTTTACTTTACTTCACTAATACTAGTACTAGGACTAATTACTGAATCCACCCTCAACAAAAAATAACTGTGCTATATTTAATATCCTACCCACAGATGACGTCACACGACAGTCCAACATTTTAGAGGGTGGTAAAACAGGGTTTTCCAGCTTTCTAGTGTTGTTAACGACCCCGAAACATCTAGAACTGGCCCTAACCATAACCCACCTATGCTCCACGAGAGAGTCCAGTCTAGGTCTCACGACTGCATGCAGCCTAGATCCCACGACTGTATGCAGCCTATCTACCACCCCCTGAAATATTAGACTGTCCCGTGACCTGTGGACTTTGGGACTTCCCAACTTCTCTGTAGACAGCCCTGAAACCGAAACGAGCCTTTCGCGGAAACGGGCCACATGACGGCTATTTCATAACAGCGTTTCTGTTTCGGTTTCCCCATTCTATATTTGGTCACTTTCGGTCGAGACTCGGGGAAGTCCAGTTTCCTGGTTTTCATTCTCGACAGCAATAAAAGCAGACCACAGACCACCATTTGATATATTCCTTGTGCATGCCAAAGTGACTTGTTTGGGAATTTCATCGTAGAAAGAAGAGTACTTTGATTACAGAAAATATCACAACCAGAGCCCAGAAGGAAAGCATAGTTGTAAACTAAGGTTAGTTACAGTTACAGCGGTAAGAGACGACACATAAAAGTCATCAACAGAAAACGAAACAGTCAAACAAACAGTTCTGCTGTGGATTCTACACTACAGTGCTGCTAAAGTAAGGACATTATAATTAAGTATAAAGTAGCTAATAACATCTTATTTTTCTTCTTCGCGTTCACCAGCTGTAAACTCTGATATCAATTTCTGGTTGTTGGTCCAATCCTTTGGTCTTGCACGGCCAACTTTGTTTATATACTCAAGAGCGTGGGTCTTGAATCAGATTTCAGTTTTGAGTGCACATCCGTTTTACAGGTCTGGCTTGTTTGTATTTGAAGGAAACACCACTAATTTAGTAGTTTCCTACAACGCCGTCTCTAATAAATAGAGAAGGCCGTGTTTCCTACTACGACATGGTTGTTAGGGGGGGGGGGAGGGGGGCAGAAGGACTCTTTGTTCTCCAAAAGCGAAGCTCCAGAACCCACACAGGCATTCGTGGAATCATGTAACTTTAATCTCGTTCCAACTCAGACATCCGTGTTAATCAAATACAACAGCAGTAGCAGGCGCACCAACACAGCGAAAACATTGGGAGTCGCAAAATGCATATTAATATTTTATAAAAAAGAAAAGTGGCTAAATGGGTTTGATCCTAGTTTAAGAGCATAACAATAGTAATGTACTAAATGGTAATACATAGGATAGGCCTATACGCCTATTTGAAATAATATGAAATGTATAAGAAATACTTCTAATGAGAACTTCTGTAAATGATTAGAGGGCACTTCTTATCCTCCTTACGAAATCATTGGGGGGGGGGGGGGAGCTAAACCCTCCCTGACCCATTGTGGGGGTTGGGGGGTTGGGAGTGGGCAGCTAAACAAGCTTGGGATCCCAGGCTCCAGCAGCCCTAAGCTGTAGTTAGTTTCAGTTTAATTAAATCCAATCAGAGTGGCAAAGTGGCCAAACTGTTTGCCTCATGCCCTGAAGGTTGTGGGTTCGCTTCATGGCTGCACCAATCAGTTCCCAAGAGCAGTTTTTACAGAGATCCCTGGGAATAATAACTAGAGCTACAAAGTTCATGATTTTGTGTGTGTGTGGAGATATTGTCAGCAGGTGCTCAGTGGAGAGAGGCCAAGTCTTATGGAATAAAACCCGGTGCAGTGAAACCGCTCCTCTTGACTTAAACTTTTATAGTAATAGGTTCAATGCTCAAGCCAAAAAAAAGTACAATTGTAATGACTGCAAAAGCTCTATGTGCTGATGATGATTTGGTTGACTTTTTTTTTCTGTATTGATGAAATGAGCCTTGCAACCATCATCATTATTATTATCAAGTGCCTTGCCAACCAATCTTCACATCGTTCAAACCCCACCAGCTGTTTTATTTCATGATCATATTCTAACACATTTCCTTCCCATGTCAAAACGCTGTCAAGTCTGCTCTCATCTTCTAATTATGCTTCCAGTTGTCACATGTTCTTCTATTCCTTAATTTGTGTTTTTAGTAGCGTGTGTGTGTGTGTGCGTCTGGTCAGGACTCAAATAAGGGTAGCTAGAGCTAGTGAGTTTGTGCTTTGTGTGATGCTCATGGTAGGCTGCTAGATGAGTACTATCATTTTAGTTCACTCCATCTCTGGGATCCAATACCCTGAGTCCAGTCATATTAACTCTCTATTCATTAATTCATGTTCTATGCATCAGTGGGAAATAAAAAGCACAGAAAGATAGCTGCCTTCATGTTTCTGTGGTCTTTCTGTTTTGTCTCTGCAGAATAATCATCTTTCTGATTTGTGTATAGGATATAAGGATGGACAAATACAGATAATCAATACACCTGAAAATTGTGAACTAATGCCTGAATTATTTTATCCTAGATTGATTCATGGTTTTCTCAGCCTACATTTTTAACAGCAACAAAGTATAAGCTGGCTACAAAAGAAAAAAAACGACTGGCTTTTGAATTATTTTTGATTATTTTTTTTCAAACTTTCGGCACAAATTCTGGCTTATTTGTTCGTTTAAACAAAAAATTCAATGCAACATTTTTACATACCTAATGCAATGTATCTGAAGTACAGATCCTTTTTACGCCAATGGCATTTGGACACATGATGCTGGAATCAAATTTTCAGACCAGGTGGCTCTCAATGGGTGATATAGTCACTCTAATGCCGGCTGCATTTACATCCCAGGATACTCAGATTTTTCAAAAAAGTTCAAACTTGGTCAACCTGGGAGCCGAAAACAGTTTCCCCCCAAATAAGCCTAGCATAGATTTGAATTCATGGCCTCCAGACCAGCAGACAAATTAATACAGTATAAATTTGTTTAAAAAAGTAAAATGTGTATTAATGGTAGTTCATTGTCTCTGCAGGCAGATGGATCATAACAGAGAATCACGCAAGCGTCTGCGCCCTTGGCTGGAGAAGATGATAGTCAGTGGCACCTGCCCTGGGCTTGTGTGGGAAAACAAGGACGAAAGGACTTTTCGAATTCCATGGAGACACTTTAATAACAAAGACTGGGTGGAAAAGGACTCACAGGTCTTCATGGAATGGGCCAAATATACCGGAAAATATCATGATGGTGACAAACTGGAGTACCCTGTATGGAAAACCCGTCTTCGATGTGCTTTGAAGAAAATCCCAGAAATTAGAGAACTCCAAGAACAACACCACCTAGAAGATCCAGACCCCTACAGGGTGTACCAGTTCATTGATGTTCCGGCGATGAAGAAGGTCAACGATATTGATTCTGATTATTCAGCAAGTCCTGTCTCTTTTTACTCTAACTCACCTTCCGCAAGAGACTGCTTTGAAGATTCAACGACACCTCCACTGAAGTACTTTGACGAGACATTTCTAGCTCCCAAATGTCAGTCAAATGTTCCTACTGTGGTTTATGATGTTCCTTACTATAACAATTTCTCTGTAAAACCAGAAGAAGGACCATCGTATCATTTTGGCAGCAATACAATGGCAGCTTCAAACTGCTATGGTGGTTTCAACATAACTCAACCTAATTTTTTGTGCCAGATGCCTTCATCATCACATAATTTTTCTGACTTGAACAGTATCATCCCACCTGGGCAACCTCAGTTGTCCCTGCTGAGACATGAAGCAGAAGGAATGCAAGTGGGCAATGACAGTCTAAAGCACAGTTTACCATCTGATTTAATGTCAGTGGAAAGTGCTGATCTTTGCTCAATGAATCTGCCACCTACCAGCTACTATTTCTCAGAATCCCACTGTAATGCAGCTGAGAGGAGTGTCATGCATATTACCGTGAAATATGGCTTTCCTCATTGTAATGTTCTTCTGAGCCAGGTTGCTGCTAATGGCTGTAGGCTATACTTTGGTGCTCCGAAGTTGGAGTACACAGTAATGGAGGAAGAATTATTTGGTCCAAAGACTGTTTCTCAGATAGAAATGCCGCACGTGAAGAACAACACAGAAATCTGTGATGAACAGAAAAGATTCATTAGTGAACTTCTGGATGGCATGGAGAGAGGGGTGGTTCTAACTTACAAAGATGGTGACATTTTTGCACAGCGTCTGTGCAGAACCAGAGTATTTGTTTCTGATGGAGCTGCCGAGAGTAAGTTGCTAGACCGCAAAGATACAACTCCAAAAAAAGTTTTCGACTTTGCTGCTTTCAAAACCGAGCTTGATCATTTTAACGTCACTAAAATCTCTCCCATGCCGAAGCATTTTTTCTATCTAACTTTTGGGCAAGAGATAAAGCATGGCCGTTCTGAACCATTAGGTTGCATTGTCATCCATGTCCAGGTGGTGCATGCAGGAGCAGCAGAGTACGCCAGCAAGGTTTCATTGTCGGATGCCAGCCAAAGCTTTTCCAAGTTTGTCTCTTCTTTGGATACAAATGATCAACTGCTGCTACAGTTTAAAAATATGAATGTTAAATAGCATAAAATGAGATAAAAGATACATTTCAACAGATGAAATTCACTGCATGGGCTCTAAGCCCCGATTAGTGGTGGGTAAAAAAAATAAATGCACCTACTGCATATTAGCGAAGACGTCATAAAAGGGACTCATAAAAGGGACTGGTCGAGGACTTGCTGAAATCAGATGCGTTGGGCCAAAAGGTGCAGACATCACGGCCTAGCTGTAAACCACAATATAACATACCAACCACCGATTTAAGGGCAAATGAAGGTGGCATGCCTGTTAGAAGTTTTTAATATGACAAGAGACGCTAGTAATGATAACATCAGGATTCAAGAAAGTAGATGTGTCCAAAATATTTTGGACTGATTAAGAAATAACAAGGCTACCCTTAAAAAACACTGGTATTAAATACAACGAAAACAGCTCAAGAAGCAAGACTTGCCGATTATAAATTAGCAAAATAGCTGAAGCAATAAAACACCATTTTTTATGCAGCACACACAAAAACCCAGTTAGAAAGCTCCCTTACTTGACAATAAAAAGGGGTAACAAGAGAGTCGACAGAAGAAAGACTGAGAAACACTATTTGTTAATTTTGTTAATCACACAAGAGTGGTGTTTTCAAATGTTATTGATTACAGGTTTTTTTAAGTCTAGAGTTTTTTCAAATATTATACTGCTGTGCCCTGGTATATAAAGTGCAGATAGTGTTAGTGAAGAATAAAAGAAAGTTAATTGTAATACTAACAAATAGTGTGTAAGCTGATGTGAATAGTTCACTGCAAGTGTTCAACATACACATATGCTTTTGGCCTACGCCAGTTTCATTTCAGGATAAAATGGTATGAATAAGCCACTTTCTTCTTCACTTCCTTTTGTTTTTAATCAGACAAGTGCTCATGTAGATTGGCACCAGAGACAACAGATCACATCCTCCAAGACTGTCCCATGTACAACATATCAAGCAAAACATCTGGCCAAGAGTAACACTGGTTGAAGCCAAACTTTACGGGTCACTGAGTGAAATACAAAAGACAATGAAGTTCATACTTCTACTTCAGCGATCTCTGGTCATGCGCATAATCCACTGTGGGCCATAAACTGGGATGTCCTCTCAAGGTCTCTAAGGTAACCCCAAAGCTGAGTTGTCAGGTCAACTGAGTGTTGCCACATGTTGCTCCGCAGCTCCGCCAAGAGAGGACAGTCTTGCAAGACATGATCTGGAGTCTATTCGGCATGAAGACACTGGCAGAGAGCTGTTTGGCTCATACCTAGTTTATATGTTTGTTTGTTGAGCCTGCAGTTCCAGTGCAGAAGCAAAAAAAAACTGTGACCTGGTCTGTTCTGTTCAGGTGTTTCATGAAATCTTTTTTCATGGTTAAAACCTGTTTTGGTTTTCCAATCTGTTTCTGATTTTCATCTAATGAGGGTTTTGACTTCTGGAAAAACGTTCATACTAGAGACAACATTGCAGATATAGGTAATCTATTTCAGGCAAAAGAATGAAGTAGAACTTCCTCTTTTATTGTTTGAGATTCATTGTTCTGCTCCTTGATCTTCTTGCCTCCTCAACCATAAACACATTATACTGCTGTAGAGTTTCTTTGATCTTTCCATCAGGGTCATGGGTTCCGGTTCCGACAGTCTGAATTTTTTTTTTTAATGACCGTGGCTCTCAAGTCAGCCCAACCTTGAGGGGGTACTGGGTAAAATCTTGGGAAGTAAAGGTGGTTGACATGATGCTGACTACATCACCCACTGAGTGCTGATTGTTCTATAAAAATATAGGTCTAGCCCTCTATGCCTGAAGATGTGGAGAAGGGTCTTTTACTTAAATATTTCCATATAGTTTATGGTCTACATCATGCTCTACCGCCCTCTCCCCTTTTGGTGTATACCTTATAGTGTCACAAGATTGATAGATGGGTGTGTATGTGTGTGAGTGAGTGAATGCATGAGTGTGTGCATGAGCGCATGGATTTACCATCCATAATTATGTATCATTTTTTGATATTCAAATTATGCATATTGTTTTATGAACTTAACATGCTTTATTGATAAACTTAGTTGCTGTGTGAAAGACAGGTGTTGCGAAGAGCCTGCGTGCCCAATTTGTGACACTAAAATAAAAATGAAAATAAAGTTCTTTCGTTTGTTCATAAAGCATTCTCTCCAAGTTTCTCTAATTTTAGTTGCTGTTTTTGTAAGTAATTATTAGTTCTGTGCTGAATATTTGTCTTATGACTGCATTCTCCTTGTCACTTTTGCAACCTTTCTGGTACATTTCATGTCCAGGGATACAGAAAAGCCCTAATTAGCCACCCCTTACAACATGCTTGTGGGGGGGGGGGGGGGGGTTTGTGGGATTAAAGCCTATTCTATTTCTTAAAATGGGGCCCAGGTGCACCTACATGGGGGAAGGGCTATAGCAACAGTTGTTGGGATTAAACCGTTAACCATCACACCAGAGCTGGTCCTTGAACTCTTGTGTATATTCTATTGCTGTGAAATAAACATAGACAGGCTTATTGTTACAGCTTGTAACTGGGAGCCAATGTGGTGTACCTGATAGACACTTACCTACAGTTCTGAAGGTTGTGAGTTCAGGTCCTGACTTTTTCCAAAAATAACCTTGGCTCTCAGGTTGACCTAGCATCAAATGGGTAGCAGGTAAAGTCATGGAAAGTAAAGGCGGACAGCGTGATTCTGACCACGTCACCCACCAGACTGATCTACAAAATGTAGGTCTAGCCTTATATGCCCAATACGCCTAAAGGTGCGGAAAAGACACCTTTACTTAGCTTACATCCTGTAACTGACCTATTTTTTACTATGAATTGCCTGTATATTCCTGATCTATAATTCTGGTGATTGCAGGATATGAGTGACTGATTGAATGAAGAATTGACATCAATGCACATCAGGATATTCCCACATGTGCTCCATCTCCTTCTTCAGTAGCCCACAAAGAGCTGCCATGCTAATAGTGCCAGCAACAACCTGATTTAAAACTCCACCTCTGTTTCTCCTTTAATGATGAATGTCTTCCAGATACTCTTCTCATCCCTTCCCTTTTTTTCCCGGTGAATGAGTCTTTTTTATGTATGGATTCTGGGTTCTTTATTAATATCGTACTCCATATAACGTCACAGGACAGTCCAACATTTTAGAGGGTGATAAGACTGGGTTTCCCGGCTTTTTAATGCTTTTAATGACTCCTAAACATCTAGAACTGGTCCTAACCCCAAACCACCTACGTTCCACAAGACAGTGCAGCCTAGGTCCACGACTGCAACCACCCCCTGAAATATTAGACTGTCCCGTGACTTGTGGATTTCCCCTGTTTGGGGTAGGATATTAAAAAAGCACCAGATTTCTTTATCCGTTCTATTGCATTATCCGTTTGATCCCACACAGCTTTCAACACATCCTTTTTATCATAAACTAGCTCACCATCCAGTGTGTGTAAGATGGAGAACTATGACCGCCTATGCTTATCGGCATGTCACATGATGATGATTTATGTATTAATCACAAGTGGAATTTGAATTCAACTTAGGGGGTTATTAACTATCTTTGAAATTCAAAATTAAGGAAATGAGCTAACTGATAGACTTGCAGATAAGGCTACTGTGCAGAGCGGACGAGCCATGGACCAGGCAGAAATTCTGAATGTTCTAGGAGAAGTAAAGGAGTAGCTTTGGTCTAGCGGCTAGACGCCTGCCTATGGATCAGAAGGTCATGGGCTTAGTTCCTGACGGGGGCCGGATTTAAAAAAAAAAATGACCTTGGCTACCAGGTCGACCAAGCCTTGAATGGGTACCAGGTGCAGTCCTGGGAAGTCAAGGCGGCCGGCGTGATGCTGACCACATCACCCACCAAGTGCCGTTTGGTCTATAAAATATAGGTCTAGCCCTATATACCCAATATGTCTGAAAAGAGGAAAAGGGTCATATACTTTACTAGGAGAAGTAAGACGTTTGTGAAAACCGTGAATATGCAACCATGACCAGACTGCAAAAAAACAATATATTAAAAGGGGGAAGTGTCCAGACTAGAGTGCTATGCAGGAAGCCAAAGAAGAATACACGCTGCAGGATTTACTAAGGAGAGGATTCGAGCACTTATGGACTGAATGGTTCGATGTGCAAAGAGAATAACATGTTGACTATCTATTTTAAATTAAAGACTTAAAGAACTAGCTGTTAATATGTGTTGTGAATCTGTTATTATTTTTTATTAAGCCTAGATATACAGTCTAAAAGCCCATATCCAACTTTAACCCTGAGACGCTGCAAAACCGACACTTCTGGTTGGTTCAATTCCCCATAGATAACACTTCAAATTGTCTATATTAATGAGTTTACGAGATGCATTGTTAACTCTTCTTTCAGTCCTTGGAGTTTAGCGTTAGAAGCCCAGGGGTGGTAAAAAGAAATTTATAATAGGCGCATCTTGCATTCACTGGGCTTTTAGGTAGGAACCTATGAACATTTGATGCTTTCCTTGGGACTGAAAGAGTTAAGGCAAATGGCCGAGTCCGAGCCTGCACAAAAGTTTCAGAAATTATGATATATAATAACCAAATAAACAATATTTAAGAAAGGAATTTAGGGGGTCCCCTGTGAACCTAATGGCTTTTTAAAGCTATTTCGATGTCAAATTTTCCTAAAAGCCCCAGTGATAAAAGTCAGTGTATGGTATAAGTCACCCATTACATATTCCCTTTAGGCCCCTGGAGAATATGTTATATTTAATGTGTGATTATGTTTACTGATTACTCCCTTTACATACTGTTATATATTTCAGAAAATTTTTTACAGTTGCAGACAGATTAAAAAATTTTTTTTTTTTTTTTAGAGATATGTGTAAAATTGTTGCTTTAAAAAAAAAGATATTTGTCACAAATTTCCACAGGGTCATGATCCATTTCTGTGTGTGTTCCCAGGGGAAAGTGTTTAGTCTAGAAATACAACATAGGACCCCGGTTCACTTTTAAAAATCTGCCCCAACAGGATTTGAACATTGACAACTAGGCTAACAGGTAAGTATGCTAACCACTGCCACTGTAATACATTACAGCAGATTCCATTATGTGTAAGTAAACCAATAAAGGATCCCTTTTATACACTAGTGGCACATCGGGTATGTGAGGTTAGATTAATATTTTTGTAGATCAATCGGCACTCCATGTGTGATGCAGTCAGTACAGTACCAGAATTTAAGGCTGTGTCAACCTGGCAGCCAGCGTCGTTTCTAAAAAAAAAAAAAATCAACTCAGTGCAGAATCAAAGCCAAGACCTTTGGGCTGGAAGGAGTCTTATTATGTACTTAACACCAAAATACTACAAAGTGGCAATCAGCCTGTATACATTTGTTGTGCACAAAAGAAACAATTAACTACAATGATAAGTAACTCATCAAAGACTGCATTTAAAAAATGTTTATTCACATAGATATATACGGCACATTTACTGATAATAAAAGCGGAAACCCACTCTGCAAAAAAATTACATTAATTCATTAAATCATGTGAACCTCCTGAGTGCCAGAGGTGTAGCCAAAGATGATCATCACGGAGAATCAAAGACACGAGACAAATTTTTCACTGGTAGTACAGCTCCAGGTTCATCCCATCATGAATTTCATCTGTGGTCCACATTAAGGAAAGTATGTTCAGTCATCACAATCTCAAACAACAAGTTAACGTAGTGGCCAGAAAGCCTTTATCAGCGCATGACATGAATAAGACAGTGTTACACTTACAAACCAGAATACACACAAAAATTCACTTAACTGAGGTTTCTCCAAAAGAAAAATCCATATATCTCTCTGGTCAGTTGAAGCTCTGAGACATGGGCAAATAAAGGAAATGAATACTAGTAACAACTAAACAGTTGTGACGTAACTCAAGGGTCCTAACTCACAAATAGTGGACAAAATAGTGTGGGGAGTCAAATCCATTAGGCGATTTGGACACTTTTAAATAGATAAGGCAGTTCTCAAAGTGGATTCTGTCACTGGAGTGACCATAACTTTCATGCCAATGACACCTTGGTGATCCTGAGAACTTAAATGCTTTTTGAGGGCACAATTCTGCACATCAGAAAGATTTTGCTTGAACCTGTCAGCCAGTTGTAGCCCCAATTCACCGATGTATTTCATACCATTTCTTTTGCAAAGGATGACATAAATTCCAATACGACTTGTGCAATTTAATCCCTCACAATTTTTTAAAAGTGACATTAAGGGAATGCCAGACTAACCCCTTGGACCACATAAGAACAGGTCTTTCATATGGGTCTATGACAAGAGACTGTGTCCAAGAGGGACTCAGATGTGGGACCCAACTGACTTTTGACTAGAACATCCCCAAGGTCCTCAGCAATAACAAGAAATATGCCAGCACAGACAAGTAAAATGCCAACGACAAGCAAAATGCCAACACAATAAGCAATCTTCTAGCACTGACAAGCAATATGCCAGCACAATAAGCAATCTTCTAGCACAATAAACAATCTTCTAGCACTGACAAGCAATATGCCAGCATAATAAGCAATCTTCTAGCACCGAAAAACAAGATGCCAGCACTGACAAGCGCTTTGTCAGTTAATAAGCAATCTTCTAGCACTGACAAGCAATATGTCAGCACAATAAGCAATCTTCTAGCACCGAAAAGCAAGATGCCAGCACTGAAAAGCAATATATCAGCACAATAACCAATCTTCTAGCACTGACAAGCAACTCGCCTACACTGACAGCAATATGTCAGCACAATAACCAATCTTCTAGCACTGACAAGCAACTCGCCTACACTGACAGCAATATGTCAGCACAACAGGCAATCTTCTAGCACTGACAAATAATATGTCAACAAGTTATTAATTTAACCATAAGTTTTCAGACATTATAACACAGAAGTTTCAACAAAAAACAAGACACAAAAGGATACAATCGCCAAGGGTCACGTGGTCCTTGAAGATGGTGTACCTAAAAAGAAACAAATACTCTAGTTAGTTAGTGTATCTTTAATGTCTCACAGCAAAAGGAAGCAAGTTTTATGCTACACGGACACCACTACCTTGTGTCTGTAAGTATAACATTCAATAGGTTAACTCACAACCAGACAGAATTAATGAACAAGAAAGAATCAACACAGGAACAAAAAAAAACTGGATAAGACAACAAGGAAACAAATACATATAATTAATATCAACAAACAATAGAAAAGGGCTAATTAATAAACATCTAATGAGAAGGATGAAAGTACTTACAACAGCAATAAAAACAATATCATGCAAACCAATAATGTAATAAAAGCAGCTATAATAATCAATATAAGTAATATTGATAGAAAAAGCAAGAGCTTTTTTTGTTAAAATAGCCAGATGTGCATTGCTAAAGCTTTAAAAAAAATTTTTTTTTTATCCTCACAGAGATAACAGTGGTATGCATTATGAAATTTCTTTCTTGTGCTAACTACTGCCTTTAATATACCACTTTTGCGGTCTGGGGGGGGAGTCTTTGAAACTGAGGATTTACGGCTAGTGCGGTCCCCACAACTGTGCAAGTGAGGATTTATTTTGCCTCTGACAGAAAATCTTTATGAAATTCCTATGACATTATTTATTACTGATCCCGTGAAAAAATATTATGAAACTTTGTAAGATGATTTTAACATGGATCTGCCAAATGAGAGCCAACTGTTCTAAACACTCAAAATAAAACCTACTAAAAATTCAAAACATCAATGCGCACCCTGAATCTGCACACCACGCAAGAACCACTGTTGCAGACACTCAACAAATATGCAGACTTACCATTTCTTCAACACAATCTTATCCGCTCGTGTTCCTGTCTGAGCAGCAATCAGCTTCTTGAGGTCTCCAATGGTATCATCTTCGCTGGGTAAAAGTTAAGGAAACATAGGAACAACATGCTACGTGAAGTGTTTGCTCACGTGATATTTACGCCCGAGAAATTATTAGTTTTCACTTTCAAATAAAAACAATTAGGAACTAGAGTAAATTCATCATAAACATAGTGAAGGCAGTCTCGTTGTTCTTAGTGTTTGCCGGCTGTAAATTCAGGCAGAAAGTTCTGATTGTTTGTCAATTTCTGAAATTTGGTTTTAAACCAGAACTTGAGTTTTGTGTGCACATCCATTTTACAGATCTGGTTTATTTGTATGCGGACTGCTGGTTCCCTGCCTCTCAGACAGATGCACTCTGACTGTGAAGGAAACATCCCTAATTAGTCATCTTCTACAACATGATTGGTGGGTGAATGGGTGTGTGGTGGAGGGGGTTGGTCTATTCTTTGTCCTCCAAAATAGAGCCCCAGGACCTGAACATTTTTACAGTACAGAGTAAGTAGCGGGGAGAACCTCTGCTTTAAAAAAAAATATATATATAAAAAATCAATTGTACTGAAACTATTCATGATCAAGAATGAGGGGTTTAATGAAAGAGTTGAAAGAAAGAATGAAAAAAGAGACAACAAAATATTTTGACCATATTAAATGACATTTTAAAAAAAGTAAAGGCCCCCTTTTTTTTCATGCCTTCAGGTGCATTCGATATATAGGGCTAGACCTATATTTTTAGACCAAACGGCACTTGGTGATGATGTGGTCAGCATGATGCTGGCCGTCTTTACCTCCCAGGACTGTAGCTGGCACCCATACACCTCTTTTTTGTTCCAAAAGCAGCTCTATAACCCACATGGGAAACCTAACTGATTAATTATTTCTTATTGTATGTTACAGTGAAAGTTTGTTGAGTTTTAAACATTCTAAAGCATCAAACAATCTGTCTGCTCAAGTAGGTCCCCTCTGTCATTGTGATGTTATGTTATCACACTAAATGCAATGCATTCTGGGCATTTCCATGCATGTGTCTTCGATGCAGCAGCCACTCCAAGGTATCTCTACTGATTGTATAATAAGAAGTTGATAACAGTGACCACTGTCTTGGCATGTGTGCACTTCACCAAGCTGTGTTGGCGTCCGTGGCTTAGATGTTGTGAATTTGATTCGTAATTCCATCGTACCACGATGGAAACCCACTGCTGGCTGCATGGATGTTTATTATGGTATGGGGTGTCGCAGGTCGACCCAGCCTAAAAATGGGTACCGGGGGAGAGGGAAGAGGCTGGAGAAGGGAAGGGGGTGGGGGAATAGCATGCCGATAACAGTGATTATTTAAGGATATGCTGAAATCAGCTGTGTTCAGAAAGGTATAGATATCACCGTCAAGTTGTTAACATAAACAATGTGTCTGCAAATGCAGGAGAAGGAAAAGAAGAAATGCATTACACAACAACTAATCAGGCATACTTTAATACATGGAAATTTCTGTTGCACTGAGAGAAGCAACCCACAACCCAGACAAGAGCCTCATGGCATATATTCTGTCTGAACAAGATAATGTAAATACATTTAACTAACTCTTGTCTTCAACAATGACATTATGCAAAACAGTGTATTCTGAGGGTCTACCAGATTTTCTCTAGTGGCTCTGTAAAAGCCGTTGCTCTGTGTTTTAAACATTACATTTTGCTCTGTGTTTTAAACATTACATTTTGCTCTGTGTTTTAAACATTACATTTTGCTCTGTGTTTTAAACATTACATTTGCTCTGTGTTTTAAACATTACATTTTGCTCTGTGTTTTAAACATTACATTTTGCTCTGTGTTTTAAAAGGAAGCTCCATTTTGCTCTGTGTTTTACGACATTACATTTTGCTCTGTGTTTTGGGTCTACATTTTGCTCTGTGTTTTAAACATTACATTTTGCTCTGTGTTTTAAACATTACATTTTGCTCTGTGTTTTAAACATTACATTTTGCTCTGTGTTTTAAACATTACATTTTGCTCTGTGTTTTAAACATTACATTTTGCTCTGTGTTTTAAACATTACATTTTGCTCTGTGTTTTAAACATTACATTTTGCTCTGTGTTTTAAACATTACATTTTGCTCTGTGTTTTAAACATTACATCCTGAAATCAGAAAGGATACTTGCACTTCACCCTGACCTTTTTCCCCAGACGGTCGTTACACGTGATTTCTAACATGTTATGTGGTCAAGATGATACACAAGCCTGAGGAAAGATTTAACAAAAACAAACAAAAAACTAGATTATTAAAATATCTCAATGAAACCTTAGGATTCAAATTTAATGCTTCCATAACTGAGCTCGTATAGTGAATAACTCATACCCTGAACTATTTTTACCGTTAACATTTAAAAAAAGTTTTTAATTGGTTCCAGTCCTCCAACAATAAAAAAAAAATGATGTTTTTTGTTTCGGTAATGGAAAAAATGTCTGAAACTGCTCTTGTTTTTGCCAGTAGTGGAAAACGGGGTTACTACCGACCACAGTCATCAGCATCAAATAGTTTGTAGGCTGGCAAAAGTCCTCTCTCTGCAATGTTAACATAACATGATCCATTTTAAAGTTATGGAGATTCTGTGGGGTAACAGTGAGAGTTCTTTTCTCTCCAGCTTGCATCCTAGATTTTGCCCTGTATTATTCTGGTGCAAAAAAATGCATCTCACCTCGTATCCTGAAATACTTGCATCCAGGTGCACTCATATCCTGAGGTTCCACTGTATAAGCAAGTTTTGAAATGTGGTAAAAAAATATGCACCCTACATAAAGCAAATTACTATCATTGTTGTCAATGGAGGTGGCACTACTGCTATTACTGGGGATACCAGGAAGTGCAGCCTCAATTTCTTCCAGTGTCATTTTTCTGCCATAGGTTTTCTAAATAGCCTACCATGGAAAAATAAAGCCTGGTAGGTCAAAAACCGATTGCAATACAATTTCACTCACCTTTAAAGCAAAATATTATAAAATGATAAACAGATCAATGTCGTACATAACATATTTATAGGTGCAACTCTGAATAACACAAAAGTTACTGTATTTTCTGTCTGCTAAACAAAAACCAACAGCCAAAATTTTCCCAACATTATGCCACTTTATATAAATATTCTTGTTTTTATTTACAGTTTTATGATCTGTTTAATACAGTTAATGGAATGCTGTGTGACTATCATGGTTATGAATGTCTTAACCTCTTTGCCCTGGGAAGCCTAAATATAGTCACTTACAGTTGTCTATCTCTATTGTCTTCTTCACTTTTACTGGGTTGCATGCAGCCCAGTGTCGTGGTTTAAAATATTTGTTTTGTGCCTCTCGCGTGATTTGAGTGACAGTTTTCTGGATCTTCTAGCCGTATTCAGCTACTCCATCTATCAATTTTTTCCTGGGTCTTCCTCTGGCCTTTCTTCCCCATGTTCTACTGTAAAAGGCCTTATAGGCAATTTGATCCGGTTGCATTCTTACTAAATGACCACACCACTTCATTCTCTGTCTTTCAATACGTTTCATGCCTGATCTTGTTCCAACTTTGTCTCTAATGCTGACGTTTGTGACTCTGTCGTAAATACCAATATATGACCATGTCTGCAGTGGCCTGATCTCAAACAGCGAAGTTGAATCCATCTGTTTGTATGTGTGCCTGCACAGTGTTTAATATGCCAGTAAATGAAAACAGTGTTCGGGTCGGGTTAGGGGGAGGGGGGATTTTTCCAGTAAGCCTCAGTGACAGAGATCACCCAATATATTTTGACTTTTATTCTCAGGGAAAAGTATTTCATTTAAAGCTTAACTCTGCTCATGTTTATTGATTGTTTTTTATTTCTTTATATATTTCAAGAAATGTAGATAAAAGTACTTTTGTTTGTATCCGCATCATTTAAATATACTTAAAAAAAAAATTATTAGTTACTGTGTAAGACCCTGGTTTTGTTAACTTTCGAAAGGATTTTTTCCGGAAATTGCCAGTCACCACAGTGCTAAACATTCATATTCATAGACCACTTTGATTGTTTTGTTTATCGTTCTGGGACTGAGCCTCGAGAGGCAGCACTTTGATTGTTTTGTTTATCGTTCTGGGACTGAGCCTCGATAGGCAGGGGGTAAGAAGTGTTGGTGTTGTGGGTAGTGGTTTTTCTTCTCTCTCCTCCCCTCCCACCCCTTTACTTCACCCAAGGTCTAGTGAATATCTGTTCATGAAAATAGCGTCAATTGCGGTGTCAGCCTCTTGACCTAGCATAACCTCTCTTACCTCAAGACCATTGTTTTTTGTGTTTGTCTATAGTATTAGTACGATTGCTTCAACTTTTAAAGTTAGTTGTTTAAGTTTAATTCAAGTTAGTTTAAGTAATCATAAAATAATTTTAATACAATTTTCAACAAAAAGTTTAGTGTATCATATGAAAATAAACCAAGTAAAAAATCCACGATCAACTACTTTTTACCAAAGATTACCTGAAAACTTTCAACTTCTAGAAACTATCACGGCTTTCTTTCAACTATCAGTGTCAACGGTAAATACAACTCTTCTTCGTCAACGGCTGACATGCAAACACGCAGTTGGAGTTACGTTTCCTGGCTACATCAAAAAATAGTATCGGAATTATATTAGGAATACGAACTTTAGGTTCAAATAAATTTTCAGGAGAAGTAATATATATATATATTTTTTTAAAATCAACCTGAGCGAAAAGTAGAACTTATATACCAACTGACACCGCTATTAAGACATCCAAACAAAAGTATGTGCGCAAAGAAACAAATTATAAACAGCAAATTTATCCCAAAACTGCTACTAATGCCAGACTTGGATATTGAGTTGAGTTCGTTAACAATCTTGCCGTCCGTTTTAGGATGAAATTTTTCGTTATTTGAAGCCCTACTCTGGCTCATGACAGGGTCCGCAATATAGCCCGGCCATAAATATGGCGTAATGGCTGAACACGGTTTCTGGGACCTCTCCATGGTGATCCTTAATCCACATGGTGGCACATTGTGTCATTGAGTGTTTATCGCTTGTGCGATGTGTTGGTGGATTAGAAAGTCATTCAGTCAGTTGAGTTGAGTTTGGTCAAGAACTGACATCCCAGCACTCGGGGCATTTCTATGCGTGCGCCGTCCTCATCTTCAGCAGCCAGCGCAGTGTTCCAATACTGATGGTACTGATCATAATCTGGTTTTATGTCCGTCTTGCCTTTTCCCTGTAGTGAGCCGGCCAGATCCTCCGGTTACTCTTCATTCTCTCCAGGCCATAATAATCTGCTTTCTCTACTGATTCCGTTGCTTGTTCCCATAGGGCATTGACCACATTTACCTTGCCATGTATTAATTCACCACCTAGTGGTGCAGAAAAAGCCAATCTGTCTGTCTGTTCATTACCCACTATGCCGGCATAGCCTAGAGAAAAGATCCGAAGTATGCTCACTACCCGTGACCTTTCCAGTGAAGCTTGCCACTCTGCTCGTAGCATCCCTGTCTTCGCCTTTCTCAGCATGCTCTTAGAGTATGTTACAATTGCGACATGTGTATGCATCTTGCTCTCTAGCCACCGAAGAGCTGCAGTTACCGCCTCCACCTCCATTCCCATTCTAGATTTTGTTATGTCGTATGCAAGGCTGTCTTGCACCAACGATTTTCCACTGGCTTTCGCTGCGAACCCCCAGGCACTTCTCTTTCCCCCTAACACCGAACCATCTGTATGGATAATCAAATCACCTGGCGTGAATTGTCGTGAATCAACTGTTGGACTTCCACCTCCGAGGCACCCGCTGGCCATTCTCTGCACTCCCGGATCAATGCGATCATAACCCTACACAGGTCAGACTTTTCCTCTGGTACTCTGATCCACCCCTCTCCTCGCCTAATGTTCTCCAGCATACATACTTGTTAGACCTGGATATTATCAAAGATTAACGTATGTAAACTTAACATCTGTGAAATTAGATGCCCGAAAAAAGCTTAACCATCCGAGACAAAGTTATAAATGACATTATCAGACAGACTGTAGGGACAACACTATGCAGCAAATTCATTGAAAAACAGAAAATCAAATGACTTGGTCATCTAGTAAGAATGCAACCAGAACAACTACTAACGCAGGCGCTACACAAATATCTACAGTGAAATCAAGAGGTCCTCCTAGGAGAAATGGATCGATGACATTAAAGACATCGACACGTAAAACAAATTTGCCATTGCTCCCTATCAAGCAATGGATCGCTAACTGTCCCTCCACACGCCGCTAAACTGCAGAAGTGGAAATTGACGACGATCACTAAAAATTAAACAACTTGTTTCATCATCCATATATTTAATGTGGTACGCTTGTGGTGCTATTTTGCTGTACGTGTGTGCTTCTATTTTGTTGTATATGGTGCTATATAGACCTCAGGGTTTTATAGGTCTATATAAGCAGGTCTAAATACTGCCTTGATTTCACCAGTTGTTCATATAGCAGCCTTGTGTGGCTAAGGATTGTACAATTGAATTGACACCGTTATCACGTGATCAATTTCATTCAAAATGGCTTCTGAAATTTATTTTGCAGAGGCTTCTTACAACTTGTAGGGTCTTGCGTATATTCCGTGGCTGAAGGAGTTATGTGTCTTCCTTTTTATTCCTTGTAGCAGTAATGGTTTTTAATTAATCTAGGTTTTTCTTAAGCCCATTGGTGCAATGGGCTCTCGACTTCGGTAAGTTTTGGACTTAGTTGTACACTGAAACTGTTCTGTTTGTTTTTGTTGAAAATCCTAAACTTTACTTAACGAGTCAGTGTAGCTGTTCAAAATCAAAAGTAAAATTCCGTGTTTAGTAGTGTAGTGTTTTGTTTTTAATTTTAGTTTTGTATTTTACGATAACCGGTGTATCTTTGTTTTTGTTGGTTTCACACACGTCCGGCTGTATATATAAATAGAGAAGGCCGTGGTTTCACATAGCGCTTTTTACTTTTAAGGGTCACTCCGCGTAGTTACCACCAAGCGTATTTATAATTTATTTAATGTTGCGAACTCAGAATCTGGGTAAAGTTGGCACACCCAGGACGAGAGGCACACCATGCGTGCACATACAGTACGCGTCTTCTTGTCAACCTGTATAGAGTGGACACTGTTACTGTTACTATTGTCTGTAGTCTGTTGGACGCTGATGGATAGGTTGAGCTGGAGTGCCTCAGGGATAACCCGATAACCTAACATATGTATTACTATTATATTATTAAAAGAAAGCCATCAGAGTGGTAACTGATTTAAGAATGGACATAATAGCCCCCTGTGTATACCCATAGGTTCTGAGTCTGCTGCAGCAAATGTCTTAAGTTGTAGATGCTGTTTTCCCATGGCACACTGATTATAATACACTCGTCATTCTCTTTATCCGATATGTCCCTGCTTGCTGGGTTCACACCACCTCATTCCTAGTTCACTCACTTTTATACTAAAATTATATCTCTTTTGGAATGGTCTTCAGAATGTCTCCTTTCTCCAGTACAAGTGTTTCTGTAGCTACCGATTTTGTAGCCAGAAAATTAACTCTTTCACTTCCTGGCACCCTGCATCTCCCGGACAGTATATCCGCATGAGTCCCTGTGATGTTAACATGCTGATGTTTGGAATTCACTTATGCCACATTTGTTCCTTTCATTTTGAACCCTCTGCAGTACCAACTGAGAATCAGGCACTATAACTCCTTTTGTAACTCTTATCTTCTAGTATCCACTTCAGAGCTGCAGTGATTGCCTCCTTTCCATCCTTATGCTTGAAGTTGTAGATAAAAAAGCTCAACTTTGTTCCGCCACAATCTTTTTCTTCATTCTAGCTGAAAATCGCCAGCCAGATCTTAGACCCCGATAAACAGAAACCACAGGTGTACACTTTTGCATCATCTAGCCCAGCGTTTACATCTATCATTTGTGTACTTCAATTCTACCATACCTTCCTTATGTGATAATGACTTGATAGAAATGCTTTTGTGTGTTTCTGTTGACCCATTCCTGCCCCCTGTGTATTTGCTCGACTGAGGCTGTCCGCCTGATGGTTTTTTTTCAGTTAGTGCCATCAATTACTTTCACTTTTCCATCTGTCTCTTCTAAAATCTTTCAGATTGCCATGCAGCAGATGCCTTTCATCATTGGTAATTCACATGTATGCCATTGCTTGTGCCAGTGACATTCTAGACTTCACCGGTATCAGCTCAACCATATACCTCACTGTTCTAATTGGAGTATCTTGTCTGTATCCCAAGATGATTCTTATTCCTTTATTTTTAATCCGCTCAGGTTTTGTAAACTATGAGGTAGTGTTATAATTCTTAGGATCTAATCAGATACTGAAAGTACAAGTAATTGAACAAAAAGACCAATAGTCCAAATTGCATGTGTGTCACTACTATCATCTTCAGTGCCGCCAGGTACACTTGCATTAGGTCAGTGTCTGCTCCACGTGATGTTTGTATGACAGGCTGCGATCAAGTGTCAAACCTAAGTATTTAAGCATATCTGTTCTCTCAGAATTTATACCCTTCATGGATATGCTAGACGGGTCTTCCTTTCCAGTGTTGTTATGTAAGGAGCACCACAAACACTTCCTTTCTCAGAGTTCACCCTTGACCCTGTCTGTTCACACCGTTCCATCATGTTATGCTTAGCACTTTGTGGCTATCTTCCGAATAACGGTCCCAAATTATCGAGGCCGAAAATATACCCTAACAGGGCCTCAGTCACGTGTCAACTGTGGACTTCCGGCAACTTAAATTGCACACTTCCGGTGACTACCGCTACCACCGAGAGTATCTCCCACGCCACACGTAGCGGCGTGGATTCAGGCTAAACTAGATGGCTGGGGCTCAGAGCAGCAGCTACTGCATATCCTGCAGCTTCCTTGATTTTATTTGCTCGTGAGTCCCAGCCATCTAGTTTAGCCCCAATCCACGCAGCGCGTAGCAGCGTGAGAGATACTCTTGGTGGTGGCGGTATAGTTCCCGGAAGTCCACAGTTGACATGTGACTGAGGCCCTGTTAGGGTATATTTTCAGCCTCGATAATTTGGGGCCGTTATTCGGAAGATAGCCCACTTTGCAAGTCTTTGGTCATGTCATGCTTGTCTGACCCACTTCTGTACATTAAAAAATCATCTGCAAATGTCAAAGTTCACCCTGGTTCAGCGGGCTGAATTTTTGCCAGACTTGCTGTATATGTGTTAAGCAAAACAGGTGACAGTGTTGATCCCCCAGGAAGGCCAAGGCAAATGCGTACTGGATCCGATCTCCATTTTCCCCAACAAAATACCACTGCTCTCTCCAACAGTGCTGCCCCCTATCCAGTTAGCCAACCAAGGATTCATACCACAGTCCCTCATGCATGGCATAAGATATGTGAAGTCAGCACTGTTATAGACATCTTCAAGTTCTATTGAATAGCACCTGTTTCTTGCTTTTGCTAAAATCTATCATGTACTTCATATGCAAACTACCAGCATTGTTCCATGTTGCCTTCATTGATTGCCTCTAGCTGCCCATTGTGTCAGGTAGCATGCCCATTCTTTCTAAGTATGACATCACTTTCTTCGCCACAATTTTTTCCAGCAGTTTGCCATACACATTTTGCAGGGTAATGATCTATAACTGGTGAGGTGAATGGGATCACATCAGATAATCAATAAATGGTCTGGCAAACGGGTCGCCCCATCTTTGCTCCGCTCCTGTGCCAACGAAAAACACTCAGAATGTTTATCACAGTCCCTTGTGGAAAGATTGACAGACTGCTGTCTCAGCATATCTAGCATACACTCGCATTAAAGCATACGGTAGCCATCCGAAGTGCTAACACAAACAGTCCAACATTAGAAATGCAGTTCATCATTGATGATAGCAGAACTTGTCGCCAACAGATCAGCAGTTGCCCACGCGATCAATTGTAATCACATACGGGCACCGCCAACATTGCACGACAGGCATCACGCCATTTTCTGAATCTACAATTCACACCACCACATTGGTCACAGTCGAAAATAAATTCCAAATACAATCCGCAGCTCACAGGGTCACGCCATGCATTCAACTCAGAAGCTGGGCGACGAAACTATATCCAGTCTACAAATGAAGCAAAAATACTTCGGCTACTGTCCGGCAGAAGCAAAAAAAATTGCCTCTGCTTCGAACAGCGCCGCTGTCTAGCGTCCATTTTAACCGGAAGTTCAATAAATCAATAAATACATTCGTGTAAAGCTGCAGTTAAGATGAAATTGATAGGCATTTTAAAACTGGAATAATAGAATGGACACTAATGAGAAATCATAGCTTGAAAAGAAGACAAGCATACATTACAAATTGAAGGTTGTGGATAGCACATTACATTTTATTGAATGGCACAGCTAGAATAATATTTATTTTATTTAGCTTTGTCTTAGTAGCATGGTGCTTTAATATTGTGTGTAGAGGAAAGTGCTCTTGCCATTCTTCACATATGGTTGGAGGATTATTCAGGCCTTGGACAACATGAACATCGTCATCTCCTCCCCCTTCTCCTCATCATCATCTTGCTCCTTCTGCTTCTTTGTGTGTGACTAATGTCATGCACCTGTTCCAACATGGGTCACAGAGAGAATAGTACGCTTGAGGTCTTCACGAGTGCCCCATAGTTTGTCAGCGGATCAGTTCTGTTGGCTAGATTTCTTCTCTCTGACTGGCAAGGCTTGAATGCTAATGTGTCCCTTTAAATTTTTGAGTTTTCCAGTTGTTTTAGAAGATTGACAAGACATTTAATGATTTTGAAATTGGAAGGTACCTAGACATTACTGCACTTGAAATCTGAAGGATACAATTAGCAAAGCAAATGTATCATTAAAATGTAAAAGAACATAAACATGTTGAAAATTAAAAAACAAAATTGAATTTTTAATGCCTTGAACACAATAGATTATGTGAAATGTACACTTTTTAAAATGAGAAGTTGAAAGAATTAATATACTGTATGTTTTTTTTCTTCCAGAGAAAAAGTTGAGCATTTGTTTGAAGTGTTTGTGGAAGTTGCCAAGCCAAATGGAATAGATGAAGGTCAGTCAGAACAGCAGACATTGTGTAGAATTGTTCTGTTTCTATAGATAAAGATTCCTGAAATGGGAAGAAATAATAGAACTGTCCAAACATGGGCAGTTAAAAGACAAAGAAGTATGCAATATATTGGACGTATCCTGAGGTGAAAGAGACAGGGAATTACCAAACAGGCAGTGAGCAAGGAAACATTGGACTGAGAAAACAGAGATGCCCAAGAAAAACTCTAAGATAAATGATATGAGAGGCCACACATGCTGAACTAGATTTTATCTGTAGAATTGAAAAGATTGCATAGTATAGAATGGAGGAATTCCCTGTGTGGTTTTGGGCCCCCGTTGTGGGAAAAACAAAAGTAGACCCACTGCCTTCTTTCAATAGCAAACATGTTATAGGAGTCGACTAATTGAGGGCATCCTGTGAAGTTTTAGTACATCTGCCTGAGAAGCAACTAACCAAGAGTCATCATACAAATAAGCCAGGTTTGTGAAACAGATGTGCTTGCAGCACTCAGATTCTGGAACAAGACTAAAGTCCGGAGGTGGACGAACACCCAAAACATTCCGCCAGTTTACAGCTGGTGAACACAAAGAAGCAGAATAAGAATGGAGGAATAGACTACAAGCCATACGTAGAGGACATAACAGGAAGATGATAATGATGACATCATAACATCGGTCTTCTAATACATCCATGCAAGCATTTTACTGTTTATTTCAAGAAGAATTGGAGCGTGTGGTTAATGAATTAAACGGCTCATATAACATCATGAGAGGTGTGTTCTGCTCTTCGGTGAGACCAGGATTTTTACAGATTGAATTTTTCTTAGCTAGGCATTTGATAATCTGTTTGGCAAAAGTAGCACAGTGTTTGTATGAATATGATGTTTACAATCTCTTTTTGGGCAGGTCATACCTTTGTGATTAGGGAGTACTATCATCACAGCATTCCAGCCAAATCCATAGGTGCTCTGATCTCCTCCTCACTAGCTCCACAAGTGTAAAACAACTGATAACGCCCATTCTGTGTTGATTAATCAGACATCTTGTGACCTTGGCCTCGCTGCTCCAGTCTGGACTCCCATACCCACCAGCCTAGGCTGGAATACTGTCCTGCTTATTATTGTAATCCTCTTGGCAATATGCATCTCAGTAATAACATCAGGTTATCACAGTTCCAACTTCATAGCAAATAGGTCACCTCATAGTTGCTCCGCTTCTGTTCCAACGAAAATAACACAGAATGTCCATCACTGTCCCTTGTGGAAAACAAAATTGACAGGCTTCAGTCTCAGCATTCATTAGATGCATAAGGCAGCCATTAGAGGTGCTAACACAGACAGCACTAGAAATGCAGTTCATCATCGATGGAAACAGGAGTTACAGCAGATCAGTAGTTGCACACACAATTAATCAAATAAGGTACCATCAGTTCTGTGGCAACTGGCCACTCGCCATTCTCTGAATCTACTGTTAACAACACAGACCATGTTGGGCTCAGTCAGAAAGCATTACTAATGAAATCCACAACTCACAGTGTCACACCATGTACTCAGCTCAGCAGCTGGGGGATGAAACTATAGCTTTTCAGTTTACAGAAAAATACAATGGCCAGCTATTGTCAGAAGCAAAAATTTGCCACAACTAAAAACAGTAAACCTGCCTATCCTCCATATTGATCACTCCTATCCAGTGCCAGGCCAGGCATAGTAACCACATTGTCCGCTAGATAATCTGCATGCTCATTGTCATATTTTTGTTTGGATGTTTTAATATTGGTGTCAGTTGGTAATTAGTAAAGTAAAGGACCCTTTTCCATGCCTTCAAGCATATAGGGCTAGACCTGTGTTTTATAGATCAGTCAGCAATGGGTGGGTGATGTGGGCAGCATAACACCAGCCGCCTTTACTTTCCATGACTATTCCTGGTACCCACTAAGTGCTGGACCAAGCTGGGAGCCAATGTCATAAAAAAAAAAAAATCTGGCTCCGTCAGGACCCGAACCCACGACCTTCCGATCCGCAGGTGAGCAGTAGTATGTTAATAATGATAGTCATTAACTGTAGTTTTTTTTCTTTGTTTCAGCCCCATTTATAATCCAACAATACCCTCCAGACTATGATGATAAGGTTTGCTTTTAACCTTCTAACTTTTCTTTTGCATTTTTTGTGTGTTTACCTGTGAACACATTGTTGTTTACCTGGGGACACATTGTACTATCTAGCTGTTTCTATTAAATTAAAATTTCATTGTTATTATACTTGTAAAGAAACAAAGAATAACACTGCTAGGACCAGTGTTTTCAAGGATGAAAAAGAACGACAGTGATCAAAGACTAAGTTTATTCCCAGACGATTATATGCCAGAAAATAAAAAAAAAATAAAAAAGAACCTACCAGTCAGGATGAAAGGAATATAAAATGACATGAAAATAATTAAAAAGAAAAAAGTACATTAAATGATCAGAGCCTTTGTTAGAGTTAAGTATTATATTTTTTTTTGGAAAATGAAAGATTAAGGAAGAGGAGGGGAATGAGGCCAGTAACAAAGGATAGAAACCCAGCTGTTTTATAATTAGAAGCATTACTGTAAGATTTGAAATGATCATCAAAAATAATTTCTTGACTTTTAACTTCTGTACCTTCCACAGGAAGTACTATCAAATATCCCCAAGTTTGCATACCCCTGCCCAACTGATGCGTAAGTTTTGCTTTTAAGTGTAATCTGTTCTTTCTGTTGTGAAAATTATTGGTATTTGGTAAATGAATTACCCTCCCTGTGTGGATTCTGGGGCTGCATTTTAGTAGGCCCACTGCTGCCTAACAGTTATGTAATAAAGGTCGACTAGTTAGGGTGTTGCTGAAATTGGATGTTTAGGGCCAAATGGTGCAAACATCGCATTCAGGCAAGGCTAAGCTATCAGCCAGGCTTCCAACTTTATCGCAGAGTCACCCCATTATTACTTCCCTCCTATACCAGTGAAGTTCACACAGAATACTCATCACTGTCCTATGGGAAAAGTCAATGGACAGCAGTGCCGGGAAAATCCAACAGCTCGCAGATACATCAGATGCATAAAGCAGCTGCCATAGGTGCTGACACTTACAGTCACATTCAATAACTAGTGCCTACACAGAATAGAGGAAAATGAACATTATGAATGAATCTTTTATAGGGTACTTTGGGAGAGAATTATATGATCCAGCAAATCCAGAGGTCAGGAAAATATGCTGCTGCTGCTGCTTTATAGAACATACATACAGAAATCCTGCGACTCCCTTTTAGCTCCTAAATCAAAGTAAAGACACAGTGCAATTGTTTAGAGCAGTGGTTCTTATTTAGTTAAGATCTATGGACCCCCACTTATTTTCAAAGGTCTACCACAGACCCTGTATAGTTTAAATAGTAAATCTATAATAGATCAGAAAAAAAAGAGGTTTTCTTTTGTTTTGTTTCAGTGATATCACTGACCCCTTAAATTTTTCCTGTGGAACCCAGAGGGTCCAGGGACCTCTAAGTGTGAACCACTGGTTTAGAGTATTGTCATGTCACAAGCCTCTCTGTGTCCGTATTACAGGGTTCAGAACAAGGATGAAGGAGTCAAGACAGACAACAAACTCAGATCTGAACTATAGAGGATAGGGTGGGCCTCAGATGTGGAATTTTTCCAGTTCAGTGTATCTGATCACCAGAAACGGAAAAACCTGACGGGTCAATAACTTAATGAGCCAACAACAATAGTGCATGCATTATGAGACTATAGATAAATGGGTTGATGTTGAGATGGATAAAAAGGAAAAAAAAAGGAATGAATAATCTAATGTGTATAAAAATGAAGAGGCAAAAGACATATGGTTTTAAAGACTTGAAAATATCCCCACTAAAAATTAACAGTAAATCTAATGCAAAGTTGTACCAGACAAACAAACAGACAAAACCAAATTTAATAAAAGCTTATTTAAAAAATACATACACATATTTAAGTATTGTTTTATCATCACTTAATTTGTCATTTCAGATCTAAAGTTGACCATTTCACATTTGTACTGACAGACTTGGACAGCATGTTCAGGTTTGGGTACAGCAGGCATGCAACTGGACATCAGACTTGTTTATGTATCGTCAGGTAAGATCTTAGTTTTCTTTTCTTACATGTATAGATTGATCCAAGTTTTTGGTGGGCTTCTCACTGAACATTCATTTTTAAAAGTTTTAACCTTTTAATCTCTGTTATCTGTAAAATTATGTTATCCCTCTGTAGATTCTGGGGTCCCATTGTGGGGAAAACAAGAATAGACTCACTGCCTAGCACACAAAAAAGCATGTCGTAAGAGACAACTAATTGGGAGCTTTCTTCAAAGTCAGAATGCGTCTGCTCAAACGGGAAGGAACAACCAAATGCACACTAATAAGCCAGTTAAATGGATGTACACGCAAAAACTCATTCCCTGGCGCAAAGCCAAAGTCCAAATGAACACACACTCACAAAAACCATGACTTTCTGCCAGAACTTACATCCATTGAACAACAAGAAGAAACTCTGTTATAATTGTGATATGTTTGGCAGTAATGACTAAGAAAAATCACCATGACTTTGAAAGATACAAGTGTCTAATGTAGTAAGGTTTATTGAGGATGTGCTAACCAAATGTAAACAGAAAGAGAATGCATTTCATGTCTCACTGGTGGATGAGTTTGGAAAGGGTTGAAGAGCTTTGCAACATACTCACTGTAGAGATGGTAGTTTGGTACTTCTTTTTCTTGTTAACTCCAGCAGAAAATACTGGTTGTTTGTCCACTTCTGGGCTTAAGTCTTGTTCCAGAAATTGAATTTTGTGTGTAAATATGTTTTGACAGATCTTCTTATTTGTATGCAGACTATTGGTTCCTCACCTCTCAGGCAGAAGTGCTCTGACTTCAGAGGAAAAATCTCTATCTAATGGAACCCACACAGGGAGATTTAGTACTATTTCAGATGCAAAGTTTGATCCTGGCCTCACTCTGATAGAGTCAAGTTTTATCAAAGTTTTATATTTTTGCCCTGGAAACTCTTTAGAAAAGGAGCTCAGGAACCCAGAATATTCCTGAAAATATCCTCTTTTTTTTGTAACCCATTTTACACAGGTAACTAACATATCAAACAATTTTTTAATGAAATTTTATGAAGGGAAGTAAGCACTGAACATGAACAGTGTGGAGAATTCAGTGACTAAATTTCCCTGGGCCTTAAAAAAACAATTTATGCATCAACACCATAAACCATGACCTTATTCTTAAGCGAATAGCTAAAAACTAACAGAGAATTGTGACATTATTACGTATAGATAAAAAAAAATAAGGTGATTGTTTCTTCTACAATAGAACCAATCCAAAGGCTATTTTTAATAAATATAATCATATCCAGCTCTCCTAAACAGTGCACAGGCACAATCAGATAAAATATAACTAACTAGGCTTGTTCAGGACTAGCCAGTGCAGCAGTGCTGGTTAAGCAGCTTTTCAGGGGATTAGTAACATACAGTGATGCTGGATTAGCAGCTTCACAGGGCCAAAGGGTTAAGTTTACAGCGTTGAAGATGAAGAGGTTTAAAAAACAACAGCAAAAAACCACCTAGGTTTTTTAAAACTGATCTTTTCTATTTATAATTGCCTTGGGGGTGGGGAGGGGGAATTGTCTTCTGTTTATATTACTAGTGTGGAATCATTTTCCTTTCTAATCTACAGTTGGCTGCCATGGTTTGAGATCTTCTACAAGATGCTGGACTTCTTGGCCGAGATAATGAACCGCTCTGAGAAAAATAACATCACTCACTTCCTTCAGGTGGCCTACAATCATGAGATCCCTCTACCAAGAATTTCAGTTACAATTGTTGCTAATGAAGAAGTGAGTGTTCATTTTTTTTTCTTTCATCATGCTTTTCTGGTTACTTCTTTATAATCTTTTACATGTAAGTTTGTTTTTCTCTATCTATTTTTTAAATTTATTTTATTTTCCTAAGTCAATGAACTAGAATGATGAAGTCATTTATCACTGGTTAGAAATATTTTGTAATGTATTTTTTTAAACAATTCTTCTTCTTCTTATAACCCGTGCCATGTGGCTTTGGTAGTTATGTCATATCCGCAACCTTTTATCTTGTGTGCTTTGAATCAGTTCTGACGCAGATGATCTTCCATGCAGTGATGTGAAACTGTCCAACGTCTTCTCTCTTGGTCTCCCTCTGCCTCCCCCTTCTAACTTTCCTGGTGTTATGATGTACTCCAATTTGTTTGTCCTTCTCATGACATGAAAAAGAAACAGTTATTTCCCAGACATTAGTAATATTTTATTCTTTGCAGCTTGATTGTAAGTTTTCTTTCTTTTCAGATAGTTTTTCTTTTTGGTAATAGGTCAGAGGTTTGTGTAAATTTTTCAATTGTTCACTTTTTTAAATAGTATCACACAACATGTTACCTTTAATGTAATCTGTCAGTAGTATTTCAGTGTCCCAGGTTAGTTAGTAGAGAGGTCTTAGTGACACTTGAAAATGTGACAACTCAGAAATAACAGAGTTGTGAAGAAGTGAGCAAAATTTAAAAAAATATGAATAGCACTGAAATCTAATTATCTTAACTGGAAAACTTATAGAGAGTAGAGAATGAGGCTGTAAAGCATTTCTTGGTTTTTGTGGATTTCAACTATCATAAGCCATACAGATGTATAAAATAAGCGTGATATAAATATGATAATATGATATTTTGCATTGCATCATCCTAGAAAATTTTTGAGCTGTCAGTATGTTTTGCATTTATGGACTAGCCTATGAGACAGCTAATTATAAATACAAATAGTGACTTTAAAACCCAACCACATATAAACTTATATCGAAATAGTCATAAAGTCGTGATTAAAAAAATACAACTGGTCTACTGGCTTATAGCTATCATTCATTCTATCAAAGATGATGACAGAAAGTAGTTTTTACCTGTCTTGAATTGAAAGTTCAGCTGGTCTGGTAATCAGGTAATGGCTGTTTCAACTTCATTGCAAACTGGTCACCCCATAGTTGCTCCGATCCTGCGCCAACAAAAAACACAAATGTCAATCACTGTCCCATGCAAAAATTCAACATATGCAGTTTCAGCATATCCACTAGCATACACACATACATAAGGCAGCCATCAGAAGTGCTAACACAAACAGTCTGAGACTAGAAATGCAGTTCAGCATCGATGGAAGCAGCAGTTACAGGAGATCAGTAGTTGCACAAGTGATTAGATTAGTCAACTACAGAAGGCATCAGTTAGTTCTCTGTCAACAGGTGCCTATCCATTTTGTGAATCTACAGTTCACAACAGTCAAAAATCATTCCAGATGAAATCTGCAGCTCACAGTGTCACGCCATACAGTCAGTTCAATAGCTGGGAGGTGAAACTTTATAGTCAACATATATATATATATATACGAGAAAATGACACAGGTAGTGTTTAACCTGTCTTGGGTCAAAAGTTTCAATTGGTGTATAACTGATCAACAATGTATTAAAGACAGCGGGAGTTAGAAAATACTGTTTTAACCTGCCTTGAACTTACCACTAATGAACTGGTCAACAACTTACCTATGTTTATGTCTACAGATGTTTAACTTTACAACTCCTGATCCAAACGTACTGCCCAGTATTCCTCAGAATGTAAGTGATGAACATTTATGTTTGTATTGTGTATTTTGTCATCTGCCTACAGACACCTAGGAAGAGAATAGACATGAAGGAAAAATAATTAATTGCAGATATGTTAAGAACTGAATCTCTGATCTGGTTTGATGGGAAAAAAGTCTTGTCACATTCAAGGAGCTTTTGATTATGATTGTGCCAGATTTATTGGCTACAATTGGGTTCTTATGCTATGTTCAGTGGACCAGTGTCCCTGTCTGTTTGTTGTGATGTCCCTTCCTGCATGTCTGGGTCTGGTATGTTGGTCCTGTTGTGGTGTCCCTTCCTGCATGTCTGTGTCTGGTATGTTGGTCCTGTTGTGGTGTCCCTTCCTGCATGTCTGGGTCTGGTATGTTGGTCCTGTTGTGATGTCCCTTCCTGCATGTCTGGGTCTGGTATGTTGGTCCTGTTGTGGTGTCCCTTCCTGCATGTCTGGGTCTGGTATGTTGGTCCTGTTGTGATGTCCCTTCCTGCATGTCTGGGTCTGGTATGTTGGTCCTGTTGTGGTGTCCCTTCCTGCATGTCTGGGTCTGGTATGTTGGTCCTGTTGTGATGTCCCTTCCTGCATGTCTGGGTCTGGTATGTTGATCCTGTTGTGGTGTCCTTTCCTGCATGTCTGGGTCTGGTATGTTGATCCTGTTGTGGTGTCCCTTCCTGCATGTCTGGGTCTGATATGTTGGTCCTGTTGTGATGTCCCTTCCTGCATGTCTGGGTCTGGTATGTTGGTCCTGTTGTGGTGTCCCTTCCTGCATGTCTGGGTCTGGTATGTTGGTCCTGTTGTGATGTCCCTTCCTGCTTGTCTGGGTCTGGTATGTTGATCCTGTTGTGGTGTCCTTTCCTGCATGTTTGGGTCTAGTATGTTGGTCCTGTTGTGATGTCCCTTCCTGCATGTCTGTCTGGGTCTGGTATGTTGGTCCTGTTGTGATGTCCCTTCCTGCCTGTCTGTCTGGGTCTGATATGTTGATCCTGTTGTGATGTCCCTTCCTGCATGTCTGGGTCTGGTATGTTGGTCCTGTTGTGGTGTCCTTTCCTGCATGTTTGGGTCTAGTATGTTGGTCCTGTTGTGATGTCCCTTCCTGCATGTCTGGGTCTGGTATGTTGGTCCTGTTGTGATGTCCCTTCCTGCCTGTCTGTCTGGGTCTGGTATGTTGGTCCTGTTGTGATGTCCCTTCCTGCATGTCTGGGTCTGATATGTTGGTCCTGTTGTGATGTCCCTTCCTGCATGTCTGTCTGGGTCTGGTATGTTGATCCTGTTGTGATGTCCCTTCCTGCATGTCTGTGTCTGGTATGTTGGTCCTGTTGTGATGTCCCTTCCTGCATGTCTGGGTCTGGTATGTTGGTCCTGTTGTGGTGTCCCTTCCTGCATGTCTGTCTGGGTCTGGTATGTTGGTCCTGTTGTGATGTCCCTTCCTGCATGTCTGGGTCTGGTATGTTGGTCCTGTTGTGGTGTCCCTTCCTGTCTGTCTGGGTCTGGTATGTTGGTCCTGTTGTGATGTCCCTTCCTGCATGTCTGGGTCTGGTATGTTGGTCCTGTTGTGGTGTCCCTTCCTGCATGTCTGTGTCTGGTATGTTGGTCCTGTTGTGATGTCTCTTCCTGCATGTCTGGGTCTGGTATGTTGGTCCTGTTGTGGTGTCCCTTCCTGTCTGTCTGGGTCTGGTATGTTGGTCCTGTTGTGGTGTCCCTTCCTGCATGTCTGGGTCTAGTATGTTGATCCTGTTGTGATGTCCCTTCCTGCATGTCTGGGTCTGGTATGTTGATCCTGTTGTGATGTCCCTTCCTGTCTGTCTGGGTCTTGTATGTTGATCCTGTTGTGATGTCCCTTCCTGTCTGTCTGGGTCTGGTATGTTGATCCTGTTGTGATGTCCCTTCCTGCATGTCTGGGTCTGGTATGTTGATCCTGTTGTGATGTCCCTTCCTGTATGTCTGGGTCTGGTATATTGGTCCTGTTGTTATGTCCCTTCCTGTATGTCTGGGTCTAGTATGTTGATCCTGTTGTGGGTCTTCTGGGTCCATCCACCTGAGCTCAGCTCCTGTTGGTTGTTCGCTGTTTGGCTTAGAGTTTAACAATTTCATGATCTTTGAGTACTGTTGTTCATTTCCTGTGGTGGACTGTGAAAATCCATTTCCATGGTTTTTGGACAATAGTACAAGAGTCATACCATGGAAAAGATTGGAGCCTCACCACATAATATTCCCAAAGACAGCGATAGTTACACTGTAGTCAGCCTTCCTTGTGGAAATGGCACATAACTTTTACTTTTATTTGAATATTAATATGTTAGGTCCTGTTCCTTTGATATCCCATTGCAGTGTTTGGTCTCCATTATTGTCTCTCCATATATGTGTGTTTTTATTTATATTTCAAGTCCATGTATTATATCCTGCTAGGGGCTTATCCAAGGTGGTCCCTATCCTGTTACTGAGTCCTAAGCATGGTCATTCCTGGAAATGTCCACAGCTGTGGATTCCTTAATATAGAATCTAGGTCAGATCTATTAAACTAAGTTTCATTTGATTAAACAAAATTTACTCAGGGGCAGAAATTTTTTTTTTAATAATGTGGATCGTTATGGGCCAGAGGCCTAAGCCCTAGCATAGAATGATCATTAATACAAAACAGCTGGCAGTGATACACAGGCCACTTGCTAGGACTCCGCGGGCTTGATTGGCCTGCCAGCCGCTAGTTGAGTAGCCCTGGTCTAGGTCCATATGAAGCTCGGCATCTGAGAAGCACATTAAAAACACGTGATGGCGGCAACAGTCCTGAAATCCTGGGCTCTAACCATGGAAGACTTCTCAGTGTAAGCAACTCTTGCCAGTCATGCTCACCACTACCATGGCTGTGATTTCCCGTGACCCTTGTAACACATACAATATTATTGTCTGCGACGACTGAAAGGTGACAGAAAGCCTTGTTAGTTAGAGGTTAGTTGCGTATCCTTTACAGGACGTCACAGAACCAACCCCAACAGCCCCTGGCTGTTGTGTGGTTTTTGTAGGCAACTTTACGTCCAGTAGCTTGCCATTGCTTTCTGGACGGTCGGATTTCTTGATACCACGGTCAAAACCAACGCAAGGCGCATGGCCCGCAGCTGGGATCGAACCCGGCATCCCGGCATTAATAAGCGTTCGCATCGACTTAGCCACAGAGCCGGCCTTGTTAATACAACCAGTTTATTTATTTATTTGTTACCTGTCTTCTTTTGCTTCTTCTTCTTGTTATCGCTTTTTGATTTACACTGACAGAGTATTTATAAACTTTAGTTACAATATTTAGTTTATTTATTCTATTGTCTATTGTCTTCTTCACTTTTACCGGGTTGCAGCCCAGTGTCGTGGTTTAAAATATTTGTTTTGTGCCTCTCGTGTGATTTGAGTGACAGTTTTCTGGATCTTCTGGCCGTATTCAGCTACTCTATCTATCCATTTTTTCCTGGGTCTTCCTCTGGCCTTTCTTCCTGATGTTCTATTGTAAAAGGCCTTATAGGCAATCTGATCCGGTTGCATTCTTACTAAATGACCAAACCACTTCATTCTCTGTCTTTCAATATGTTCCATGCATGCTCTTGTTCCAACTTTGTCTCTAATGCTGACGTTTGTGACTCTGTCTCTTCGTGTATTGTTGGTGACTCTTCGGAGACATTGCATTTCACACGTAGTTATTTTTTGCATATGTGATTTGTTCATTGTCCACGTTTGGCACTGATAACATAACGTAGGGATGAAAATGCTGTTGATCATCCGTTGTTTGGCTGGTAACGAGATCTTGTTCTAATTGTATGCCATTGATCTTTATGTTTACATTACTGTGTTTCTTTCCTATGGTCATTACTTCAGTTTTTGAGGTGTTTATTTTCATGTCAAATTTTGTACAGTCAGTGAGCAATGAATCAACATGTTGTTGTAGTTTTTGTTCTTCTTCTTGTAACAAACATTGGTCATCTGCAAAGAGAAGTTCATTTATTATAATATCTGTGTTTTGGTTTGACTCCTGTGCAATTTTATCCATATATGTGATGAAAAGAAGGGGTGATAGGACACATCCTTGTCGTACTCTTGATGAAATTTATTTATTAACCTCAGTAAACACATCCTGCTACTGTTTAATGCAGATTTTTATAAACAGCCTGTAATTGTCAGAAACCTCTTTCCTCTCTATCAGAGAAACCTCACCGAGTACTACAGTGCTGTAGATCCATACAACATGATGGTGATTTTTGCCAGGTAAGTGCTTATTTAACCTTTCATCATCAACATCATCATCATCATCCTGTGCCATAGCAGTTAGTGTGAGCTGTTATGGTTTGTGATCTCACGTAATCACCAGTTTCAGATCATGTGCCTGTTCTTGTTATGATTATATCACATGACCATACCATCCAGGCATTTATCTCTTTCTTTTCCCCTTTAAATAATTTAAATATCCAGTCTCATTATTTTTGGGGGTATTTTTTTTAGACTAATATGTAGAGAAGCATGGTCACCCACACCAGGTGGAAGAGCATCTGAAGCTAAAGTACTCATAACAAATTTGCATTCTTGGTGTTCCGGGTCAGTTGTACTGATTCCCCGTGTGGGTTCCGGGGCCCTGTTATAGGGAAAACAAGAATAGACCCACTGCCTACCCAAAAGCATGTCGTAAGAGACGACTAATTGGGAGCTTCCTTCAAAGTCGGAGTGCATCTGCCTGAGAGGCAAGGAACCAACAGTCTGCACACAAATGAGTCAGATCTGTGAAACCGATGCACACGCAACACTCAGATTTTGGAACAGGACTGCAGTCCAGAAGTGGATGAACAACCAGAACTTTCCGCCAGAGTTTACAGCTGGTGACTGCGAAGAAGAAGAAGGAGAATTGTACTGATATTTCTCCATGCCTCTGCCTTAGAACATCCAGTATTTTTATCTTAACCCTGAGTTGAGTGTTTAGCTTAGAACTGACATCACAGCACTTAGATCATTCCCATAGGCACTCCATCCTCGTCTTCAGCAGCCAGTGCATAGTTTTAATGCTGATGGTGTCAGTAGCAGTATGAGGTAGAGTGTCAACCAGACTCCCCTTGTCACTCATAGCTCTACTGTTCTCTCCGGATCATAATGATCTATTCCTGCCTCCACATTGTTCCAACTGCTCCCAAAGGCCCTTGACCAGATCTGGCACATTGTGCATAAATTCACCACCCATTGGTGCAGACCCAGCCAGTCTGTCTACCTGGTCATTTCTAACACTCCTGTATGCCTCAGAGAAAATATCCAAAGAGCGATAACCACCGGCAACCTCTGGAGAGCGCTTGCCACTCTGCATAGAGCATGCCTGTCTTCACCTTTATTATCACTCTTTGTGAGTCGGTTACAATCACGGCATGTGTCCAGCTTGTTCTCAAGCCAGCGGGAAACTGATGTGACTGTTTCCACCTCTGTTCTCAAACTAGATGTAGTATATTTATCCTTTAAAAATAAAGTTTATTTATGCACTCTTTCTTGATATGTCTCTTGTGTCACTGATCTTTTTAATGATATTTTTACTTTTCATTGTAATAACAATAGTCTCCAGCCCAACACCCCAAGTGTCTTCAGATTGCTATGTCATTGATGCTGGTCAGTTAAGCAGCCAGTTAGTGTATCTTAAATTGCATTTCTGGAATATCTTTCAGCATGCTTCATGAGAGACGTATTTACATGACCTCCAAAAAGTTGAGCAGATTAACAGCTTGTATCCACGCCGCTGAAGCTCTTCTCTACCCCATGCATTGGTAATATTGTATTTTCCTACATCAAATGTTAGCATATTAAAAATATAAGATCATACCATATCTTACGTTAATACACTGGAATCAAAAGCTAGTAGTAAAAGTCTACTAATTGGGGGATTCCTTTGAAATCAGAATGCATCTGCCTGAGAGGCAAGGGGCCCAACAGTCTGCATACAAATAAGCAAGATCTGTAAAAAATGGATGTGCACTCAGCACTCAGGATCTGGAAAGGACTAAAGTCAGGAGGTGATTGACAACCAGAACTTTCCGCCAGAGTTTAAAGCCAGTGAACGCAAAGAAGAAGAAGGCACTGGAAGTGTTGTCTAGATTGTTCCTCAGCATTTACTTTATTTTAAGTGTACAAGTCAATATGTTTAAAACTTTTTGCTTTTAAATTTGATATTGGGGATCGTCTTATACACAGAATGTGTTTAAAATATTTATTTCTTAATTTTTGGCTTAACAAATATGGGTTGTTTTATACATGGGAGTATATAATACATGGAAAAATATGGTAAATCTATTGGGATCAAAATGTTAGATCTTCATATACTCTAGGCAGTGACAGACAAGCTGGGATGACTCCTTTCTTGGTTGCCTTTACTTCCATTCACTTCATTGAGTATTCCTAAAAATTGTCTGTCACCTTGGGCCTCTGTTTGGATCCTAGGGTCAAAATTCGGGGATGGGGGTGTGAGAATAGGCCTGTGCCTCCTTCCTGCTCAACAGAAACATTGTAAAAAGCATCTTATTAGGGTGTTGAAAGTCAGAGTGCATCTGCCCGAGAGGCAAGGGACCAGCAGTTGGCTTAAAAATAAGCCAGATCTGTAAAATGGATTTGCATGCAAAACTAGTTCTGGAGCAAGACAAAAATCCAGCTGTGGATGAACAACCAGAACCTTTTGCTGAAGTTTAAATCAGTGAGCGCCAAGGAAACAAGGAAGGTCTGCCATCCAATTTTATAGAGTTGAGTTGACTCCATTGCCGTACAAGTCGGAAGAATAATCCTGCATTTCCTAGGGATCAAACCCACACCATTGACTTGGCAGGAAGGTGCACATATCACTAACCCGCTGCATGTCTTTTAATTGAGACAATGCAAATACTAAAGAATATGTTAATATAGTGTTGGTGCTTATACAGCGTGTAAGTTTTATCTTGTATGTGGTTATGTGAGAGAAAAAGAGAGAGCGAGAAACCTTTTATTGGTCTGAGATAAGGTTTTAGTCTCAAATGTAAAGGTAACAGTGCATACATTAAATAAGATCTGCTGGCTGTACCTGCGGCTAATTGTTCCATGCTTTTTTTGTTTTCTTTCGACACGACAGGCAACATTTGTTTATCCCGGTGCTGCCGTCTCATTTGATTGACTATGTCAGGTAGGTTTTTTCATGGCAAAAGTGACTGCATGTGAAATGTGACTGAATGTACATGACCAGAGACCGCTGAAGAAGACAAAATATAAAAAGAAACAAAAGTCGGGGGCAGTCTTATCGCAGTCGATAAGAGGCTCACTTTCAAATCCAGCTGCAGCTAACGGTCAGTGTTCAAAACTGGACGGCTCCTGGGGCTCACCCAGCCTCTAGGAAATGGGTACCAGATTTGACACTCTGGGGTAAATGGAGGAACGTCGCTGTAGCAACAGAGTTACATGCGAATGGCGACACAGGCGGACAGTTCTTATCAGCTGTCCGTACTGGTGGCAGAGCACTTATGGTTTATAACCGTGTGCAATGACGCTGGTTCACATCCCCCGACTTTACCTTTACCTTTTAGATACAAAAGTGGATGTTTTAACACATTTATTTTAACCTTTCAAAAATCAGAAAACAAACATTCTTAACTGAAAGTATTTTAAAATTCATTATCAGAAATTTGCTAAAATATTGCATAAATTCCTTCACTGTCATGTTTCCTGTTCATTCCTTTGGATACCAGTTCATTCCTTTGGATACCAGTTCATTCCTTTGGATACCAGTTCATTCCTTTGGATACCAGTTCATTCCTTTGGATACCAGTTCATTCCTTTGGATACCAGTTCATTCCTTTGGATACCAGTTCATTCCTTTGGATACCAGTTCATTCCTTTGGATACCAGTTCATTCCTTTGGATACCAGTTCATTCCTTTGGATACCAGTTCATTCCTTTGGATACCAGTTCATTCCTTTGGATACCAGTTCATTCCTTTGGATACCAGTTCATTCCTTTGGATACCAGTTCATTCCTTTGGATACCAGTTCATTCCTTTGGATACCAGTTCATTCCTTTGGATACCAGTTCATTCCTTTGGATACCAGTTCATTCCTTTGGATACCAGTTCATTTGTAGCCACTCTTATTTAAACTACATGTAATTCCCAGTGTGGGTTTTAGGGCTCCATTTTTGATGTGGGAAAAAATGAATATTACTACTGCCCCCCCATCCCCCCACCCCCACCCCCCATCCCCCCACCCCCAGCAAGCTTGTCGTATCATGTGACTAATTAGGGGTGTTTCTTTCAAAGTGGGAGTGCATCTGTCTTAGAGAAAAGGAGCCAAGAGTCTGCGTACAAAAGTGCCAGATCTGTAAAACAGATGTACATGCAGAACTCAAATTCTGGAACAGGACCAGAGTCCAGAAGTGGATGAACAAGCAGAACATTCTGCCAGAAAGGACACCAGTGAACGTGAAGAAGAAGAAAACATAGACACAAAATGTAAAGTTTAGATACAATTGTTTATCATTAAAATGAAAAAAAATAAAAACAAAAACAATCAGAAAACAAATATTCTTAACTGAAAGCAGAAGTATTTTAGTTCAGATTGTCAGATATTCACTAAAATAACAGTTGCTTTGGAAGAGCTAACTCATTAGATATCTTCCATAGCGGGAGCTGTTCAGCTAGAAAATAGACACACATCATTGGAGGCACTATAGGATAAAAACATGTGTATTAGGGGGAGATGAAAATAGACCAATTGGGCTGTGATGGCAGCGACATTCTACAAAGGAAATTGCTACATAAGATGTTTTGTGATTGTGAAGACTTTTACTTCACACACTTACATCATAGCTCTGTGTTGAGGGGCAGACAATGTGCATGGGGTTTCATATCAAAGGCGAATGAACGTCATCTAGTGCAGCAAAGCCTTGCATATGATATCACAACATCTAGTTTAAGAATGAAGGTGGATACAGTCTCTGCTGCCTTCCGCTGGCTTGAGCATCAGTTGTACACACATGCCGTGATTGTAACTGACTCATAGAGCATGTTGAGGAAGGTGAAAACAGGCATGCTTCGAGCAGAGTGGCAAGCATCACTTCAGAGGTCCCGGGTAGTTAGCATCCTTTGGATATTTTCTCCAGGTCATGCCGGTGTGTTGGGAAATAAGCAGACAGATAGACTGGCTGGCTCTGCACCACTTGGTGAATTGGTGTATGATAAGTTAGATCTTGATAGGACCTTTTGGGAATGGGTGAACAGTGAGGAGGCGCAGATAGATCATTACGGTCTGAGGAGAAAAGCGCTGCAAGGAGTTACCAGGGGATCTGGCCGGCGCTCAACACTCAGGGGAAGAATGAGACGGATATACAGTCAGACGGTTACTGGTACCATCGGAATTGGAACTCTTCGCTAGCTGCTGAAGATGGGGACTGAGCACTTGAGTGCTGTGATCTCGATTCTTACATCATACCATATGTTTACCCTTTGCTGTATCCTGAGAGCGGAGAGAGGGATGTCTGTATTTTATTAGTTTATTCATTAAATTTGTAAATTTATCCTGTTTCAGTGCACCAATGCCGTTCTTGATTGGGGTGCACAGTAATTTAATTGAGGTAAGTTTTGTGGCCTATTACCTGAAAATTAAATCTTTTATAATGCAGTAGAAATTGCCATTTTATTGCTTTTCGACTAAGAACCAACGAACAAATGAACAAACAAACTTTATTTTCAAAGGGTTACAAATTGGGCACACTGGCCCGTCTGACATTCGGCCCTTCTAAGCACTCATTTTTCAGAGTACCAATGCCTGTTATCAATAATGCATGTTATGGATATAATGAAGAAATATACATTATGGAATAATGCATACATACATCATGTGTACACAATCTCTCACACACACACGTATACATACTCTTACATTCATATACATGTATACTCATATACAGATATACCTAATACATACATACACACATCTATATACATACACAAACATAAAACACACACACACATACATACAGAGAAATACATGCACAAACATAAAATACACTCACATACATGCACACACACATTCCATACATACACACCTACACATGCATGCATACACGCACATACAATCACATATACAGACACCTACATACACCCACAACCACACATATACACTCACATGCATAAATACACGAACATGCATGCATACATACATACATACACACATCTATACATACACTTACATCTTTACACACATACATACATACTTTCAGACATACCTAAATACACACACATACAAACACATACTTACACAGCTACATATGCATACATACACACATAGATACATACATGCATGCATACATACACCCACATACATTACACCCACATGCATGCATACCCACATATTCAATCACACATACAGCTACCCACATCCATACATACACACATGCATACCTGATCAATAAGATGATCAATTGATAAGAGATCAATGTAGAGGCCATTCTAGCCTTTTTTACCGCAGACAAGCCTAGATGACTGTTGCTTGGCTGTGAGAGTAGGCATAGAGGAAATATAAAGCTATCCCAGAAAAAGCTATGTTGTTAGAGTATTATTATAGAATGGAACTTTGACCTCAGAAAAAGCTACATTATTGCTGCTTGGCTGGAATACAGTTCTTTCTCTGAGGCTATCATGGCTGGCAATGATGTTCACTTTCATGCCAGGGCATGCAGGTGTAAGAGAACATGAGCAAGTTGATAGGTTTGCGGTCAGGGCTACTGTGGACACTGGATGAGCAATGGTCCAGGTTGACATACTTATGTTTATGTTTATTCAACGGATCAACATCATAGCACAAGGGTAGTAATCCATAAGTGCTCCTTTCTACTTCTAACTCAAGCCTGAGTCTGAAGAATCTCAGCGCAACATTATTATTATTATTTTTTGTGTGTGGTTCCAACAGTGTGTGCTTTTTAGATAAATCTTTCACTTCTTTTCTCTGTTGCCTATTATTTTCCCACATAAGGCTAATATCTCTATAAAAAAAAAGATATATTGCTTCTTAATATGGGTTCTGGAGCACCATGGGGGGGGGGGGGGGAATAGACCCACTGCCTCCCTAACAAGCATGTCATAAAAGGCAGCTGACTAGGGATTTGCTGAAATAGGTTGGATGTGTTGGCTGAAAGGTACTGATATTGCAGCCCGTCTGTAAGCCAGCAAACAACATGCTAATTGCTTTTTAAAAATTGCAAATGCAGAAAAAGATCTGATATTTTATTGGAGGTGATATTTCTTATATTATTTTTAATTAGCTAATAGTGTAAGCTTTTCAGATGTATCTTTCACCGCTTTCCTGTCTCCCAAAAACTGATCTCACTAAAGTCAGATTTTGTGCTTTTCCATTGGTTGGTTTGGGGAGTGGGGGGGGGGGGGACCTACTGCCCTCCATAACACGCATGTCATAAAGGGCAGCTAAATAGGGATTTGCTGAAATTAGATGTCTTGCGATAAAAGGTGAAGATATCCCAGCCTTGATGTAAACCACAAAACAACGAGCCAACTGCCTTTATAAGGCTAAATTCAAAAGAAGAAGATTTATTGCTGACATTGAGTGCATTGAATTAAATTCACATGTTATGAGGGTTCTTCTTCTCGTTCACCGGCTGTAAACTGGTTGAAAGTTCTGGGTTTTTTTTTGTCCATTTCTGGATTTTAATACTGTTCCTGAACTTGGGTTTTGCTTACATTTTGCAGATCTGGTTTATTTGTTGGCACATTGTTGTTTCCTTGCCGCTCTTCCAGATGCACTCTGACTTTGAAGGAGGCACCCCTGATTAGTCACCTGTTACAGCAGGCTTGGTGGGTGGGAGGGGGGGGGGGGCAGTGGTTCTGTTCTTATTAGCCTTCACAGTGGGGTCCTGGAACACACACTGGGAATGTTAAGCTGTCCTGAGGCTTGACTAGTCTTCAGATGTAGTTGGGCTAGATGTTGCTCAGAGGTTGTCTCCACCTCCAGAGGTTTTTAAGATTTGTCTTTAAAAATAAGAGAAAAGGGACAGGCTATAAAGAATATATCATCATCATCATCATCATCAGGTGCCTTGCCGACTGGCGTGGGCGATCATGCCTCTCCATAATCTGCGATCTCCTGCAGCATGTATCAGTTCGTGTGCCGACACACCTCCATGCCATGCAACAAGACTGTCAAGCTTCTTCTCTCGTTGTCTTCCTCTATCCCTCCTTCCACAGATCTTTCCAGTGGTCACAACATGTTCTATTTTCCCTCTCCTCATAATATGGCCGAACAACGATGACTGTCTTCTTCTGATGTCTGTGATAAGTTGCCTTCAGGCTCCCGCCTCTTTCAAAACCTCTCAGTTGCTCTTTTTGGCTGTCCAAGGTATTCTAAGCATTCTTCTGTAAAACCACTTCTATGAGGCCTCTAGAAGTTGTTTGGCCTGGCTACCGATTGTCCAGGATTCACATAAAGAATATATCATGTTTGTTTATTCCAATGCAGAAATTGAAACAGCACCGCGTGGATATCGGTGATGCTGTGATCGTTGACCTAGATGCTAATACTGTCACTACCGAGTATGATGATCTTGGAGATCTTCCAGAAGATGTGGTATGTTTTTTTTTTAATTATGGACTTCTTTTGTTTGTTATGTGTACATCTTGGTCACTGTCTTCCTTATGGAAGGGTGAGGGGTGGGGGGAGAAAAATAAACCCATTGTCCCTTAACATCATCATGTAGCAGTCCTTTGCAAAAGGTCGCTGTCTTAAAGGTCTGCTGAAAAATGGTAGCCAAACTATCTGGTCATAACTATACCCAAACTCCAGAATGCATGTTGCAAATGTGACCTCTTATTGGTGACTTGCCCTCAAGACTTTTGATACACCCATCGTGGTGCCTGTATGATATGACTGAAATATGGAAATACCATAAATGGCTTTTGTACACTGTTTTGAGTCTTCCATTGTGCCTTTATGGCACAAGATGTATTGCTCACAAATAACAAGCCCTTATCAAGGCCCCTTGGGAGCGAGAGAACATTGCGGAAGCACAAATAGATCATCAGCGTCTGAAAAGCCTTGTGCAGCGAAGAGTGACCAGGGGATTCGGCCGACAGTCAGCGCTCACTGAAGTGGCAAGATGGACATGTAATGATACTGCTGTTGGTACCATGGATATTGGAGCTCTGCTTTGGCTGCTAAAGATGTGAATGGAGTGCTTATGGGAATGCCCTTAGTTTTGTGATGTTAGTTCTTAGTTTAACTCAATTTGTCCATGATTAGGATATTAGTTGATGTGAATTGATTAAGAGACATACACCCAGCATATGCCTCATTTTATTATGAGTATATATATATATATGTGTATGTGTTTGGCTATGCCGGCATGGTGGGTAATGAACAGGCAGACAGCTTGGCTGGATCTGCACCACTGACAAGCCAGATGTGGTCAAGGCTTTTTGGGAACAAGCAACAGAATCAGTAGAGAAACAAGATTATTATAGCCTGGAGAGAATGAGGCACCTGGGTGTAACCAGAGGGCCTGGCAGGCTCACTACACTCAGAGGAAAGGCAAGACAGACATATAACCAGATTGTGACCAGTACCATCAGTATTGGAACTCTGTGCTGGCTACTAAAGATGAGGACGGAGCATGCATGGGAATGCCCTGAGTGCTGTGATGTCAATTCTTGACTCAACTCAACCCAATATGTATATATTTGTCACTTACAGTCAAGCTACCTCAAGAGAAGTCTGAAGACAGATTTTATGATGAAAGGAGATGCAATATCTCTTGCCTTTCTCCATGCTCTAGTCAGACTGATAGGTAAGCTTTTCAGTTAGAATTTCTTCAGAGATTTTAGATTTGTTTCTCTATTTTTTTTTTTTTTTTTCAAATCTTTTCTCTGCTAACTTAATTATTTCCCTTAGTTTTTTCCCTACTATTTTTTTTCATCCCACATTTCTCATTGTGGTCACCCACAGAGTGTGTGTTTTCATAAATGAGCTTTGTATACTGTTTTTAAACTTGTCATCATGCTCTCGGGAGGGGGGTCGGCACAGAACCAATACTGAACTTTATCGGTAGGTACCAAATCAAATGGTTTGGCCATGTAAAGAGATTGGCATCAGACAGGGTGCCACAGAGAGCTATATTATACAGATACAGCGGTAAAAGAGCCAAAGGTCGACCATGCAGAAGATGGACCGCAGAAATGTCTGACAAATACTATATACAAAGAGAGCAGAAGGGATCTCTTCCCGGACACTGCACTGAGTAGAGAAAAGAAGAAAAAACGTTTGTGCTGTCAGATCCATTACTTTGTTGTCACTTTGCTTCCTGTTTAGTTACTAACTTGCACCATTAAAAAGAACACATTAAAACAATGCATGTTATTCTTCTTCTTTATGGTGTATGTATTTCTTCTTTTTCTTCTTCTTTTACCTGCATATCTGTTTTACAGTTCTGGTTTATCAGTATGTAGACCGTTGGTTCCTCACCTCTCAGGCAGGTGCACTCTGACTTTAAAGAAATCACCCCTGATTGGGTGCCTTTTATGACATGCTTGTTGGGATGCAGTGGGTCATTCCCCCCCCCCCCCCACCCCTCCCCCCTCTTTCCAAATAGGGCCTTGGAACCCAGGTTGTTTATTTCAATTGGTCGGTCTGTCAAAACCAGCGCAAGGCCCGCAGCTGGGATCGAACCCGGCACCCCGACATTACGAAGCGCGTTCGCAACGCCTAAGCCAGAAATATAACTGAAATATAATGTTATTGTCTGTTCAGTAAAAATCAGAATAATGTACAGTATCACAAGGTAATTCTACCACATAGAGTAAAAGGGGAAACCCTAATTAAGAAATCAGTTCATATGTTGAAAAGCAAATCAAGCTCACAGACAAACAGAAATGTATTCCACTTATCAGATTTTAAGCTTCCTTATTTAGTATTTATTGCTTGACTCAGATCTCTGTCTTTATGTCATTAGTAAGTTCATTTTGATTTGAATTTGTGACCACATGCTAGCAAATAAGTAACGGAAACAACTAATATAACTACAAGTAACATGTTTATAAATGTTAATGCTGTAATTTCTGTCTTTGTTGCATGGAGGATAAGGAAGTCCGCTTTTAATTAATTACAGGAGGATATAGAGATGCTCTGAAATTTAGGCCTGGAGAGCCCATAACTTTTGACCCAGAGGCATTTGTGCGGTCTCGTCCCTCACAGTCCACCCAGGCGTTTCTAGAGGGAATGTTGACGTTGCAGATATTTCAACAGGTAAGGAATCCTATCTCATTGTATTTTCAATAGCAATAAAATCTACTGCCAGCTTGCTAGGCCTGCAGCAACATCACCAGTGCCCGATGGGATGTTTCGGGGTGACCTAAACATTTCATACAAAGCATATTCATTCCACCCTTATGCTACCAGTGCCAAACATGGCCGCTCAGACCACCCGGAAAAGAAAGTTAGTAACCATGGAAGTGAGATGTCCGACTAAAGCAAGTCATGATTCTGCACTTTAGAACAGGACACATCGACTTCACAATTTAAGATTGGTGAATCAGCCATGTGCACATGAGCACTGGCACCTGAGACAACAGATCGTGTCCCCCAAGACTGTCCTAGCTACAACATATCAAGGCAAAACTTTTGGCTAAGGGAAACAGCAATGCATGCCAATCTTTAACGGGTTGTTGAGTGGATTACAAAAGACAGTGAAGTTTGTACTAGAGACAACATTGCAGATAGAGGAAATGTATTTCAGGCTAACGACAGAAGAAGAGGATGTCTGAGAAGGGGTGCAGGATTGAGCATGTGGCGTGAAAAAGCAGTCATTTTTCACCACACGTCAGGGCATAAGAGACTCGGTAAACACTGGAATCTCTGCTTCATTTATCTGCTTCATCATGACAGAGTTGAGAAACAAGCAAAGAAACTGCTCAACATGTTTAGCAGAATTTTTCATTTTTATAAAGAGTTAACCCTTTCGCCCAGAGAAGTTACAAAACTAAAACTTTTGTTTGATACCATTTCCCCCTAAGAGCAGCTTTCCTGACTTATTGAGAATCGACGCAAATGTTCAGCGTGACAGGGGATGACAAAATTGACAAAACATGGGGGAGAGGGGGTGGTAAACTTTTAAAATAAATCACTTTATTTATAGAAATTCCTGCGTCATATTTTTCTCTTTGACTACAGTGGTTACCGAGTAGCAAGGTCACAGGGTCAGGTAAGTGTCTTGCTATAATTAGTTTACAGGCCCCAAGAGATGTAAGCATGTTAATTATATGTTGCATTTACTTTTATTGATTAATAGGCTTTGTTTTCTAGGTCATCGAGGCAAAAGATTTCAGAAAGAGGCAAAAGAATTAAGAAAGATTTACTTGCCTACTTAGTCAACGCTAAACTCCAAGTTGTATGCAACTAACCAGCAGCTCCCAAAATTTGTCAGATTTATGTTAGGAATCTAAGCAATCTCTGTATATAATTGTTTTCTTCTTCTTCTTCTTTCGTTCGCCTGAAATAAGTTGTCTATATCAGCAATTTTGTCTCTTGTATAAATGTCACTGTCGTTGTTAGTTCATTCAGTGGTCCATTGAGTTTACGTTTCACTGTCGTTCTTTCTGGCCAAAAGGTTTGCCTTAATGTGTCAAATTCGGTGCAGTCCTGGAGTACATGCTCTGCTCTCTGGGGTACCTTTCCACAGGTGCACATGGCTGATACACCTATCTTGAATTGTGTGTACATGTGTAGAATTGTTTTGATTTCCATGACATTGAGCCTGTTCTTTTGTTTATCCAAATCTTCTGAGTCTCAAATTCAACATTTCTAAATGCTTTTTCATTTAAGTTTCTGAGCTGTATAATAGGGAATAGTTTACACATAGCATTTTGCAGTTCTGATTTTTTAATGAGTTGTTTATCTTTCTCTGTTGCTTAGGCGCTGCTAGTCCGACTCAGTACTGAGATCGAAACCCAATGCTGGCTGCGTGGATTTTTATCATGGTATGGGGCGTCGCAGGTCGACCCAGCCTAAAATGGGTACCAGGATGGCTGTCCTGGGGAAGTAAAGATGGCCGGCATAATGCTGACCACATTATCCATCCAGTGCTGATTGGTCTGTAAAAGTATGGGACCCTCTTTCCATATACTTGATGCGCCTAAGGCGTGAATAGGGATCTTTACTTTTTTTCTTTTATCTCTCTAGAGTTCAAAATATATGTTTTAATTTCAGTTTATATACGGGCGACTAGAGATCCTAAACTCTGGGGCCGGTTTCAGAGATATATTTGAAGTTCAGGCTACTTTATATACAGACAAGTTGAACTCTCAGTCTAAGTACAAGGAGTGGCTCAAGTCTGTCAAGGTAAGACATTTTCTGTGTTTAAAGGTGCATCCTAGGGAGCTGATGTTGTGATGGTGTTGTGGTTAGTGCATCTGCCTGTCAAAGCAGTGGCCCAGGGTTCGCTTCAATCAATGGCTGGGTTATTTTTTCCACCAGCATTGCACACATCTTGTAATTGTTGCTGACTCATGTTGAGAAAGGTGGAGACTGGTATGCTCTGTGCAGAGTGGCAAGCATCGCTTCAGGGGTCTTGGGTAGTTAGTGTCCTTTGCATATATTCTCCAGGTCATGCCGGTGTGATGGGAAATTAACATGCAAATTAATTGGATGGTTCTGCACCAAACTAGGCAGCCCAACTATAACCACCATACAGTTTTAGTGGATACTCCCCATGTGTGCTGCATATGAGGGGTGGAGGGGGGGGGGGGGGGTCACCCCCTAACAGTCATGTCATAAAAGGTGACTAATTAGGGTTTATGGTGCTTTATTAATATCCTACCCCATATGACGTCACAGGACAGTCCAACATTTTAGACGGTGGTAAGACTGGGTTTCCCGGCTTTCTGATGCTTTTAATGACCCCAAAACATATAGAACTGACCCTAACCCTAACCCACCTGCATCCCACGAGAGAGTACAGCCTAGGTCCCACGACTGCGTGCAGCCTATCTACCACCCCCTGAAATATTTGAATGTCCCATGACCTGTGGATTTTCCCGGTTGGGGGGTAGGATATTAATAAAGCCCCGGGTTTATTTTTTCTAAACAGCCTGAGTGCATCCACCTGAAATGTGGGAAACCAACAGTCTGCATATAAATAATCCAGATCTGTGAAACAAATGTGCATGCAAAAATTATGTTCTGGAACAAGACTAAAGTCCAGAAGTTGGAGGAATAATTAGAACTTTCCGTCAGAGTTCACAGCTGACAGATTCCAATAAGAGGAAGAAGAGTGGACACAGTAAAGAATACTATCAGTTATTCGGTCCCTGTAAGCTAAATGGACATCCGCCATTCAGATAATTCACAAGTTTAGGGGGTCAGAATGTCATAATGTATGTTGGCTTACATATCGACCTAACTCATGCACACAACCAACTCATGTGAAGTCATTCTATCCTTCGCTGTTGCATTCAGCTCATCTTATGTCCTACCCATCTTTTGAATTTCACACTCTTCCAGCTCTCTTCTCTATGTTTTTGTGTGTCTGCCTTTATTTCTATGCCCCTGTGGGTTCCAGTACAACGTCATTCTAACTACATTGTTCTCAGTTTTTCTCAGTGTGTGTCCTATCCAACACCAGCATCTTTTTTTCAATCTTGGCCCACTAGAACTTGTTTAGTTCTCTCCCAAAGCTCAACAGTGATTCTGTCATTCCATTTAATTCCTTCTAATCTGCTCAGGCACCAGTTAATGAATATTAGTAGTTTATAAGTAAATGTTTTAGTTGTTCTCCATATTTCCGCTCATACAACAGTACTGATTTAACATTAGAATTTAAAACTTTATGTTTAGTATTAGTTTTAATTTTTTTCTGACCTCCAGAAATTTCCTAGTTCTTTGGAAGTTCCTTTTGCCTTTTGTTTATTTGTATTTCAATATCTATCAGTTCCCCCATCTTTATCTACATTACTGCCCAAATGGGTGTATGACTCCACATTTTGGAGTGGGATTCCATTAAGAGACCTCATTACTATTTGCCTGGTTTATATCATCAAGTGTATCGGTAGACAACAAATCAAATAGTTTGGCCATGTATCAAGATTGGCATCAGACAGGGCACCACAGAGAGCAGTGTTATACAGATACAGTGGTAACAGAGCACCATGCTGAAATACCAGAGACACTGAAAAGTACAGAAGGGTCAGTTCCAGAGACTTCTTCCTGCCCTGACGCCGCGAGGCATTCTGGGAGTAGAGAAAAGAAGAAGGTTCTCTTCAAGTGCTGAATGATCTGCAGAAAATATGGATCCAACATCATACACATGAGACACCACTGGAGTAAAGGGTCCATTAGAAGCCTATTTAAACAAAAATTGTGAATTTGAAGCTATGTAGTTTAGTATAGGAAGTGATGACATTGAGAACAGCCTTGCAGAAATGAACATCAGTCTTAATAGTGCTCTTCACAGAGCTTATCAATGAATGTTACATCTCCCCCGACACTTCAATGAGGTACAAGGTGGAAGAAAAGCAGAAGAAGAAGAAGAAAAAGAAGACGAAGAAGTAGTTTAGTATAGGAGTTTGATATATTCTAAATTGACCTTTGATTTAAACTATTTCAGAAAAGTGGCAAGAAAGGATGGAATGGACTGAAAATAAAGGTAAGTCAACTGTTTTCAGTGACTTGTGAAGATATTTTACAATAATTGTCATTGCTTTGTGTGTGATCTTTCATTTGTTTGTTTGATTCAGCTTTAGCTGCCTATTGAATGCTGGCTAAGTATGCACTGCTTTATACAACTCATGTATGACAAATTGACTACAGGAAGGTGTGCTTATGTCATAGACTAAACTGCCTGCACACTTAACTACCTACATGATAAACTACCCATGTGTTAAACTGCCTCTTAGTGGCTCAGGAAAGAGAAAAAAAGTTGTAACTGTACATTCTTTTTGACTGACACAGTATTAGACAAAATTAGGTAATTAAAGTACCCTTTTCCACGCCTTTCAGGCGTATTGGGTATATAGGGCTAGACCTATATTTTACAGACCACACAGCACTTGGTGGATGATGTGGTAAGCATCACGCCGGCCACCTTTACTCTCCAGGTTTGTACCTGGTACCCACTCAAGACTGGGTCGACCTGGGAGCCAAGGTCATTTTTGACAAAAAAAAGTCCGGCCTAGTATTAGACAGATAAAACTGTTATTTTGTCAATATTGGGCACTGCACACAAGCCACTTAATTGGAAAGCGAGTGAGCCAACCACTATTTTGGCATTCATTGATTCCTTGTCCTGTTGTGCTATTGTTCGCCACCTAGAGCTCGCCACCTAGAGCTCACAGGCAGTTTTCCCGTTCCCTTCTATCCTCTGCAGTCACTTGAGTGTCATGGATGGAATCCATGAGTTATTAAATGTGTGTTGATAAATAATCAAACTAACCACAGTTTGGAAGTGAGTGAATTAATCACTGTTTTACCAAATGAGTGAATTAATCACTGTTTTACCAAATGAGTGAATTAATCACTGTTTTACCAAATGAGTGAACTAAGAACTGATTTGGCAAGTGAGTGAACTAACAGTAATTTTCCTAAGTTTTCTTAGTAAACCAACGAGTGTATTTTGTGTCATTGTTTTGGTAAATGAGCAGATACACTGTGATGTCCGCAGGAGAAGGAATTAACCAATGTGTTTTCAAGTTTATGAATTAACCATTGTGTTTGGCAAGAAGTTTACTGTGTGGGCAAGTGATGATTTAACTAACCATTTTGTTGGTAAGTGAGTGAACTAACCATAATGCAGACAAGCAAGTGAACTAACCATTGTATGGGCAAGAGAGGGAACTATCATAATTTTGGAAAGTGATTGAACCAGCCATATTGTTGGTGTAACAGTGGTTGTCCAGACATTCCTCTCATTTTTTAACCTTTCCTTGAATTCATCCTATTGAATGTTAGTTACCTCAGGCGTTTGTTTTTAGATGCATTTAACTTTCGTAGCTCTGTAATCTGTTCTTCTTCTTATCATTTATTGGCTGTAAACTCCAGCGATAAGTTCTTGTTGTCCTTCCACTTTTAGACTTTTACCTTGTTCCAGAACTTGAGTTTTGCATGCACATGTTACAGATTGACTTGTATGCAGTCTTGGTTCCTCGTCTCTCAGGCAAATGCTCTGCGACTTCAGAGGAAAGATCCCTAATTAGTCACTTGTTATGACATGCTTGTTAGGGAAGAGTGAGTCTATCCTTGTTTCACCCAAAACTGGGCCAAAGAACCCACCCAGAGAGCTCTGTGATCTAGTTCTATGTAATTGTTATTGTTGTCTCTCTCTAGCTCTACAGCCAGAGCTTTTACAGTAGCAGATACTAATCACTGGCTGATCGGGTCCCATTGTCCCAGTTTCCCAGTGTGGGTTCTGGGGCCCCATTTGGGGGTGGGGGTGGGGGGGGGGGGTAAAGAATAGGCCCACTGCTTTCTAACTAGCATGTTGTTCAAGGCAACTAATTAGGGGTGTTTCCTTTGAAGTTCGAGCACATCTGCCTGGGAGGCAAGGAACCAACAGCTGGCATACAAATTAGCCAGATTGGTAAACTGGATGTGCACACAAAGTTCTGGAACAAGACTAGAGTTCAGAAAATGGATGAAGAACCAGAACTTTCTGTTGTAGTTTACAGTCGGTGAAGGCTGTCCCAATATGTTCAAAACGCTTTTTATTTTGTTTTTGTAGAGATAGACTCATTTATTTGAGGATGAACTTGAAAAAAACTTCCAGATCGACCTAGCCTAAAAACTGGTACCAGGTGAAGTCCTGGGAAGTAAAGGTGGCTAGTGTGCTGTTGACTTTATCACCCTTTAACTGCCGATTGGTCTGTAAAACATAGGTCTGGCACTACATGCCGAACATGTCTCCCCTTGTGGATTCCAGGGCCCCATTGTGGGTTCCAGGGCCCCATTGTGGGTAAAACAAGAATAGACCCACTGCCTCTCCAACAAGCATGTTGTAGGAGTCGACTAATTCATAGCTTTCTTCAAAGTTGGAGTGCATCTGCCTGAGCAGCAAGGAGCCATCAACTGCACACAAATAAGCCAGTAAAATGGATATACACGCAAAACTCAGGCCCTGGCTCAAAGTCCAGACGGAGGAAAGGCTAGAATTTTTTGCCAGAGCTTACAGCTGAGCTGGTGAACAAGAAAGAAGAAGAGGGGCCCAGTATAACAAGGCAGGAAAAGGGTCCTTTTACTTGGCTAAACTGACCAAAAATATTAACATGTATGAATTTATCTTAGCGCTTATGAGTACAAAGTATTCACATATAAATGTTTTTCGATGGTTTATTCATTAAATTGGTGCATGCACAAAAATGAACTAAACTTATGTGACAGAATCGGTTATGAGGTATTCGTGGTGTGAACTAATCTTGGTCAATCATGAGGTGATGACAACAAAAATGTTGGTGCTGGCTCTGAGATAAGCTGTTATTAGTAAACTAAAAAGACCTTTCCTTGGAACCCACAGGGCAAAATAAATAGGGGAGAGAAAAAAATCTTTTCTTAGCATTTGTTGCATGTAAATTCCAGTGGAAAATTCTGTTTGTCTGTTCACTTTTGGACTCTAACCCTGTTCCCAAACCTGAGTGTTGTGTGCACATCCATTTCACAAGGTCAGGTTTACTTGTTTGCAGAATGTGTTGGTTCTACGCCTCTCTGGCAGATGCACTCCGACCTTGGAGGGAAAATCCTTAATTACTTGTCTTATACGACATGCTTGTTAGGTAAGCAGTGGGTTTGTTTTCTCCCCCCCCCCCCCCATGCTCCCGAGTGGGGGTAGTTTAAAGAGAAGAATGAAGTTAAAAGAGACTGGCATAATTGGTTAAAGGCCTCATATGAAAGGTTGAAGAAGAAAGAAGAATATTTACAGATTATTTTCAAGTGCATGCTTCATTCAGTGAACGTCAGTGTTGTGCAGACGCAGCTTCTGTCTGTACCCTTGACATTGTTTTTTGATGACTTTGCTCATAGGCAGCTCCAGTGATGTCCACAGCAGTCCAGTCTGTAAGTGTCTGTGCATGGCTGTAGTAGTGGCACATTTGTTATTTGTTTCTGTAAACCAATGTAGTCTTCTTTTAAATTAAACAATTTTTTTTTTTTTTTATGTTTAGTTGAATATTTTTTGTTTAAAGGGGATGCTGTGACTAGTGGGTTTTATTTTGTTTTCTGTAAATACGAGGGGAAGTCAATAAGTAAGTCACAAATGGTTATGGGATGGCAGGAAAATATAGCTGGTGGTTTCTAAAGGTGTGATTAGGTGACGGCAACATCGAACTGTATGTCTCCGTTCATTAGATGGAACTAGGTGTTGCATGCGCATTCCCAACACAGAAACAAAACGGTGACTGTACTTACGGAGTGTACCCTCAAAGAACAATGTGCTGTTGTGCCTTTTTGTTTGTGGAAAGGAGCCTGAATGTCGATAGGGCTGCTTGCAAAGGACATTCATAAGGAACTGCTTCCTGTTTAAGCTGACAAATGTTTATCCCCTAAAGCAAAGCATAGCAAGGATGCTTAATGATTGTCTATTAAGTCCGATCTGTTCATCCTGTTTAGAAAACAGAGCATGCAATTTTATGCATCAGGTTTAGGAGTACTAATAAAATTATGGGACAAGTGTATCGATGTTGGTGGAAATTATGCTGAAAAATAAAGGGACAGTGCATGTGTAAAAATAAACTGTTTTAAAATCGTTATCATCTTTAGTTTTTATTTTAAACAGCATTTGTGACTTACTTATTGACTTTTCCTCATACTTAGTGTTTAAAGGCAATCCACTTCATTGCAGCTTGGGGTTTATCCTGTACAGTTTGGAGTTTATCCTGTACAGTTTGGAGTTTTATCCTGTACAGCTTGGGGTTTTATCCTATACAGCTTGGGGTTTTATCCTGTACAGTTTGGAGTTTTATCCTGTACAGCTTGGGGTTTTATCCTGTACAGTTTGGAGTTTTATCCTGTACAGCTTGGGGTTTTATCCTATACAGCTTGGGGTTTTATCCTGTACAGTTTGGAGTTTTATCCTGTACAGCTTGGGGTTTTATCCTATACAGCTTGGGGTTTTATCCTGTACAGTTTGGAGTTTTATCCTATACAGCTTGGGGTTTATCCTATACAGCTTGGGGTTTTCTCTTATACAGCTTGGGTTTTATACTATACAGCTTGGGGTTTTATCCTGTACAGTTTGGAGTTTTATCCTGTACAGCTTGGGGTTTTATCCTATACAGCTTGGGGTTTATCCTATACAGCTTGGGGTTTTCTCTTATACAGCTTGGGTTTTATACTATACAGCTTGGGGTTTTATCCTATACAGCTTGGGAGTTTCTCTGATACATTACACAATGCACAAAGCTCCAGTGAAAACCTCCAGAAGTCTCCAAACCATTTGAACTTACTAACCAAAGGGCTGAGTCAGAAATGAATCTGCTTATTACTGGCTAGACATTGTAATGTATAGCAGCATATGTAACCATTTTAAAGGTATTACATTAATGCTTTATTTTTTTCTACTGTGGTAATTGTCACCCCTTGGGATCAGCTGTGCATTATAGTGGGAAGGATATGGTTTAACTCTTTGAGTACTGGTGGGCTTTAGGATGACATGTATACATTACCACTAGAAACATCTGTGCGTGTGTTACTTTCAGAGAAGCTACATACTGAGAAAGTCAGATTTCTACAGTATGTTCTGATCAGGTGTATACAAGAACAAATTCATTATGTTGAACAGTGTTCTTTTAGTGTTCATAATATTCACATGCTTGCATTTCAAAATTGGTACTATTTGGCCTAAAACTTGATTGGCTTTATTGCATCTTTGTTGGATTTCTTTATTGATTCTTCCGTCTTCTGAAAAAATCCTCCCCAGATATGTAAAATCCTTCACCTGCTTTAAATGACGTACATAAGTTTTGATATTGGTGGTTCTTTCTTTTCTGGAAAATGTTATCACTTCTGTTTTGTCTGCATCGATCTTCATGTCATAGCTGTCGCATTCTGAGTGGAGTCTGTTGATATGTTCTTGTAGCTGTACTGCTGTTGGTGCTATGATTGCCTGCTAATCAGCGAAAAGCAATTCATTTAATAATACCATCGCTGATGTTAGCTGATGTGCAAATGTGGTCAACGTATGTGATCAACAGTAGTGGTGATAAAACGCCCCCTTGCCTCACTCTAGATCTAATGTAGAACTTTTCTGACATTTCTGTATTTTTTCTAACTGCTCATTGACTGTTTACATATACACTCTTGCACAATATAATAAGATGTTTATTTACTCTGTACTTCTGTAGTACTTTCCATAATTTATTTATGTTAACTCGATCGAAAGCTTTCTTTTGATCTACAAATGCAAAGTATAATTCTTTATCGAATTCTACCACCCTTTCCATTAATTATCCAAATGTGAATATTGCATCAGTACAACTTCTCTTCTTCCGAAATCCCATTGTCCTTCACTAAGTTGTGGTTCAATGATAGGATGTAACCTATTTTTTTTTTAAGGGTCTTACTAAATATTTTCCTGGTGTGGCTCAATAACGGAACTCCTCTATACTTCTCACTGTACAATATCAGAGAATAATCTGAACTTTGTATTGCTATGAATTTGAATGTGGAGACTGACATAAGACTGTCCTTGATTTGATTACTCTATCCTATTTCTAAAATATCTGCTATAAAAATAGAACAGATCATTAAACTGTTTTATAACTAATACATTAACGCTTTTGAAAACTTCAGTTATGCAAATAAAACAGTCACTGTAGTAAATTTAATAAATAACATTTCTTCTTTTTTTTTCTAAATTGATTTTATTGTTGTTTATCCATCGTTCTTCTCTTTCTTCCTCTTCTTCTAATCCTCCTTCTGCTGCTGCTGCTGTTGTTTCCTCCTTCTTTACCTCCTTCTTTAGTTTCACAAGAACAAACTCTCAGCATTATCCTACAAAAGCCAATGTTATCTTTGTAACTGAACAAATGATGGGGTCACATGTCTGTTTTGGTCTGAATAATCATCCAGTATTATTTAAGTTTTGCAACTGAAGATTTACTGATTGCCCCCTCTGAAACCAGGCCTCCTTAATTACCTTCTGTAACACACACGAGTGAGGTTATACTTTTTTATATATAAATATTAATGTGTGACTGATTGTTTGCATTGTTGTAGTCATATTATTTTACTGTGAATATACAAGCTTGTAGGAAATTGTGCTTCTTTTATAAATATGTGTGTGTACATATATGTACATATACAAACATGCATTGGTACCTTGGGTCACAAACTTATTTGCTATTAAACTCTGTTTGAAAGCCAAAAATGTTTGCCTACCAAAGCAGTTATCCCATTAAAATAAATGCATATCCAGTTGAAGCCGAAATGTTCACTAACCATAATAATTTTCCCATTAGAATTAATACATATCCAATAAATCCATTCACTAGACCCAGGCACTTGTCCCATCGTTTTATTAGTCCTCACAAACCTGCTGCATAGAACTGCATGCTCTATTTTCTAAACTACATTTTGACTCCGCATTCAACTTCTGCTTTATGTCTCCAGCCACGGTCGGTTTTCAATGGATCTAAAAAGTGGATAAACATTTGTCAGAATAAACAGGAAGCATTTCCTCATGAATGTCCTGTGCAGGCAGCCCTTTTGCACCCCCCCCCCCCCACCCCAAAAGCACAACAGAGCATTGTTCTTTGAAGGGATACTCCACAAGTACAGTCGCCATTTTGTTTCTTCTGTGTTGCGAATGTGCATGCAACACCCAGTGCCACCTGTCGAACGGAGACATAAAGTGTGATGTAGCTGTCACCTAATGACACCTTTAGAAACCACCTAAATTTTCCTGCCATTCCATAATTATTTGTGACTTATTTTTTCACGCGAGTGTGTGTGGGGGTGCGTGTGCACGCGAGCACAGGCACACACAGGTTTGTGTGTGTAAACACATATACAGTATCACTTTACATTTGTGGCAGATAGTTGCTGGCACAGGTAGATGGTAGAAGACTAAGAGGAGGAGGAGGAAGACTACTGCCTCCAGCAAGCGGCTTGTCATTAATCTAAGCTAACAATAGTTGTTCTACTTCTTCTAACACGTGAGACCATAGCTTCATCAACATAGTCATTGCAAAAAAAGATTCGCTAAAGACGGCTGAAGTGGCTTTTGAATGTTGAATTAAGAATCGGCATCACAGCACTCGGGAGCACTTATGGGAGTATCCCGAGTGCTGTGATGTTGATTCTTAATTCAACATTCAACATTCAAAAGCCACATCAGCTGTCTTAAGCTAATTTTTTTCCTTCAAGACAGTACTGATAGTAGATTTGCCCATGTCATACAGCTTAGTAAGATCAGAAACAGGAACACCATTCTCATGTTTAGTTTTTTTATTTCCTTCTTCATTTCCACTGTAGTACGCTTAGGCTTGTTTATACCACTATCAGTAACACTTTTCACTTTCTTGCAAGCTATAATGAGGGTTGGTTTAGTGCACACACACAAAAACACTATAAAGTTGTATCAAGAACAATGCAACGACAATGTTCAAAGTGCGAAAACCGGAGTACATTTGATGCGGTTTGCAAGACTAAAACTTGGCGTGTTTGTGCATTCATGTGCTGAGGCATTGGTCATAGGTCAAATTAAAATTTGCTAGGAGATTGTGTTCTTGGGCCCATTTTTCATGACTAGAGGCGTTTGTGACCTGAAGTACCACCGTGCATAATTAGTTCTCTTTATTTTGTTAAATTTGTTTGGGGTGCATTTTATTTGATTTCACCTGTTGATGTTATAAAGGTGAATGGTTGTTTCATGGTTAATTTTTATGTTAAATTTTGTCCATAGTAGAAATAGTTTGAAAATTGGGTTTCAGTAGTTGTTAGTGATTAGTTGCAGTTCCAGCTTCATGGAATAAGTGTCATCCTATAATTGCTTCTGCCTGTGCAGGTCACAAACACGCAAAATTTTCTTCAATGTCCCATTTGAACATGAGTGATAAGATCAGTCCCATAAAAATCCAGACGTTTTTATATACTATAAACACAAAAGACAGCTGCCAGAGGTGCCAAAACCAACAGTACACTACTAGAATTGCAGTTCATTGTTTATGAAGTGAGTCATGGCAAATAATGAGCTGCACTTGCACACATATTATTGTACAAAGCACACTGCCCGTCAGGATGTAAAACCAGTCACCTGGCATTTCCAGATATGCAGTTCACAGCACAAACGCACTATGGGCACAGGTGTTAAGCATTCCACATAAAATCACAGCTCACAGTGTCACATCAAGCACTCAGCTCAGTAGCTGGGCAGATGAACTATGGACTCCAAATTCAAAGATGGGGTAAATGCATACCATATCCAGAAGGAAATAACACTCCAAGGCTATAATGAAAAGCCTGCCTATCCATCAAATTGGCTGAGACTAATTCTGAGTAATGGTGGACATTAAAAAAAAGGAATCATGAGTTCATAAGACATAGCAAAAGAGACTAATGCAGTCAGCAACTTAAAGCTTGTCTGTTTGATCAATCCTTTTATTTTTGGCATATTATCTTTTTCATCTGTGAAGATTTTTAGAGAGAATACATTTTTTTGTAGGGGATTGGTTCTAGTAAAAATGGTTTGCTAATGCTGAGTTGGCAGAATTGTACACAAGACACGCACATTTGGAGTGTATCAAGGACTAAAGACAAAGCAGAGAAGATTTATGCATTCAGCAACTGAAAGTTTGCCTGCTTGCATCAGGTTCAGTCACTTTTTAAGAGCTGAATGACAGCCTGCCTGAAGATGGAAATGCAAGTCACAAAAGAGAAATAAAACATCTTGTCTGCCTGAAGATAGAAATGCGAGTCACAAAAGAGAAATAAAACATCTTGTCTGCCTGAAGATGGAAATGCGAGTCACAAAAGAGAAATAAAACATCTTGTCTGCCTGAAGATGGAAATGCGAGTCACAAAAGAGAAATAAAACATCTTGTCTGCCTGAAGATAGAAATGCGAGTCACAAAAGAGAAGTAAAACATCTTGTCTGCCTGAAGATAGAAATGCGAGTCACAAAAGAGAAGTAAAACGTATTGTCTGCCAGTGGATGCAGTACAGTTAGTATTCTAATACACAACTGGTAATCTTGAATTGATCAGAGAACAAAACACCTTAACTCTTTCACTCTGGAAACCCTTAAAAAATTAGGCCAGCAACTTGTAGGAGACTTTTAAGGATGGAATTTTTCGTTATTTGAAGCCCTGCTCTGGCTCTTGCCGGGGCCGCAATATAGCCTGACTGAACGCGGTTTCTGGGACCTCTCAAAGGTGATCCTCACCCACATGGTGGCACATTGTGTCATCGGGTGTTTATCGCTTGTGTGATGTCCTGGTGGGGTAGAAAGTCAGTCAGTCAACTTGTAGGAGACCAGAAGTTGCTGCCCTCAAAAATTAAATATTCTGGAAAATATTTAGCATGTGTTACTAATAAATTTAAAACATTTAAAAATTATCTACGGTAAGAAATTTATTTTCAGACTAAAATATTTAAAGATGGCTTTATCAAAGTGGCTCTTGAAAAGCCATTTTATTCACAAGAAAAACCCCTCTAAATGCTTAATAAAATTTTTTTGTTATCTAAGCCTCATAAATGCTAAACAGGGATGAACAGAATAAATCACATTAAACTATGCTTCTAGAAATGGGTCCCTTTGAGGCTGTTACGGGAATGTGGCAATAATGGAAGAGCTGAGTTTAGGTCTTTGTGGGGTAAAAGGGTTCTGAGTTTAGGTCTTCGAGGGGTAAAAGGGTTCTGAGTTTAGGTCTTCGAGGGGTAAAAGGGTTAACAAAGTTTATTGCATCTATTGGGGTTTGACATCTGAAGAGCAAGGGAGAGACAGAGATAAATATACGGATGGCTTGGCTACGTTTCAAAGTATGCAAAGGCAAAAACACAGACCTGGATCTAAATCTCTGGTGACTGTATAAGATATAGAACCACGATTGCCTATTCTTATTGACATGGTACATGATAATGATTATATATGTTCCCATATTCACTTTGGCATGTCTCATATGTATGTTACATATTCCTGTTTTCTTTCTGTGTCTGAAGAGGTAAATTTATTTATTGTAGTGTTTCTTAGCTTGATTTTACTTTGGAAAAGTGTACGTCTGAAATAGGAATGACACCATTGACACGTTAGATACTACACTTGACATTTGTAAAAGATGTTGTAGCACACTTTATATACTGCATGTTAGATTGGAGGTATTTCATACTTCACACATTGAAGACTACTTTTGGGGACAAATTCAGGAAAAGTAGAATTTGTTGCAAGATTACTATATCATGGGAATGATAAACTTCATCACAAAAGTTGTTGCCTTGAAGTTAGGTATGGATTAGTATAGATACACATGTCTGTCCAGCAGTAGAATTGGGATTACCAGCAGTGGTTCAGTAATATACATTAACTTACACTTTATGTCCCAGTGAGGTCACTTTGAAGTAACTACTGTACTGTTAGTATTAGTTAACGTAAAAACGACTAGATTATCTTTACAGATGGCTCCGTGTTGAGGGGTAGACGAAGTGCATGGGGTTTTATAGCAAAGGCAAATGGATGCCGCCTAGTGCAGCAAAGCCTTGCATATGATATCACGTCTAGTTTGAGAATGGAGGTGGAGGCAGTCTCTGTTGCCTTCCGCTGGCTTGACAATCAGCTGTACACACATGCCGTGATTGTAACTGACTCATAGAGCATGTTGAGAAAGGTGAAAACAGGCATGCTTCGTGCAGAGTGGCAAGCATCACTTCAGAGGTCCCGGGTAGTTAGCATCCTTTGGATATTTTCTCCAGGTGATGCCGGTGTGTTGGGAAATGAGCAGGCAGAAAGACTGGCAGGCTCTGCACCACTTGGTGATGGACTTGGTGATATGACAAGTTAGATATTTTGAGGGCCCTTTAGGAACGGGTGAACAGTGCGGAGAAGCTGATAGATTATTATGGTCTGAGGAGAATGTTACTGCGAGGAGTTACCAGGGGATCTGGCCGATGCTCAACACTCGGAGGAAGGATGAGATGGATATACAATCAGACGGTTACTGGTACCATCGGAATTGGAACTCTTTACCTGCTTCTGAAGATTGTGACTGAGCACTTATGGGAGTGTCCCCAGTACTGTGATGTCAGTTCTTAATTCAACATTCAACAGTCGACTAGAGTAGAAATAGGATCACTAGCAGGGGTTCACCTATATACATTTGTTAACATTTATTGTCCTATTGAAATGTCCCTTTGTAATCATTCATGTATGATTCTATAAAGAATAATAGGATAGCTGTCAAGGACAAAAGTATGATCGTTCTCAGTTTTCCAGTTCTGTATTTCTGTTGACACATTCAGTCAGTAGTCATTTCGCAGAAAATGATGTTTAAATTGGTAGGCTTAAAATAATTCCTATTTGGATTCAAAATAGGATCACTAACAGTGCTTATGGACGGGAGGATTTGACTGCATGATTACAGCAGGGTGGGTTAAAATACTAGCTTCTGGTAGAGAAAGAGTTAGGGCCAGGATGTTTTTGGGTTGGCAGTAATGAAGACAGTTTTTTGAACAGGATGAAAAAAGCTAAAGTCGGGTGATGTGAACCAGAGTCATTGTTATAAACTGTAAGTGCTCTGCAACCAGTACGGACAGCTGATAAGAAACTGTCTACCTGTGTCGCCGTCCGCACGCAACTCCATAGCTATAGCCACGTTACTCCATTTACCACAGAGTGTTAACTTTAGTACCCATTACCTAGAGCCTGGGTGAACCCCAGGAACTGTTCGGTTTCGAACACCGGCCGTGGGCTGCAGCAAATCGCAGCTAGATTTGAAAGCTAGTCTCCTATAGATTGCGCCAACTCGGCTCCTCGTTTTTTTAAAACATGATATGTCACATGATGATGGCACCTACTGTTGTCAAATATACGGTCTTGCAGCTAATTCAGTTAGTTTCAACATCCTTTAATTTTGCTGGAAGAGACTGAGTGCATATGAGATTGTCCAGAGTGCAAAGTGACTTAGATTCTTCTTTACAGTTTATCGCAAGCATATACTGTCTGTGTATTTGGTTAGTGATGCATGAAGAAAATGTCACATGATGATGAAGATAATGTGTGAATCCTCTGTTGTTGTATCTGCTGTCTTGGAGCAATATCAGTCAACATCTTTGACTTCTCTGAGAGACACTAAGTACTTATTGACTTTCCAGAGTGCAGATTAGTTTCCATTTACTATTGTTAATCACATTTGTGTCCTGTCTGTATCTTAGGCAGATGCTCTCATAATTTTGGGGTCCCGGGTTTGATTCCACCTGCAGGCAGTTTGGCAGCAGACTATGTTGCATTTGTTTTCAGCAGTTGTATCAAAACTGGCTATATAGACAGCAATATATGGAAAAACTATTGAATGTAAATTTGCCTGTTGGGAAATGACAAACAGCCAAACAAATTCTGGGTTTGTTTCTGCAGTATCCTGTATAGGACACACAGATAACTTTTAAATGTTTGTTTGGTCATTAATTATATAGATCCCTTAAAGAATGTCTTGAGGTTGAGCAAACAACTGACATCATATCACTCGAGACATTCCCATAAGCGTTCAGTCCCCGTCTCCAGCAACCAGTGAAGAGTTCCAGTACCAATGGTACCGGCAGCAGATTGATAAGTTTTCATTTAGCCAAGGATTTCATGTGTTTATGTAAGTTTTCTCCAATTTGTGTCTTCACAGATGAAAGAGCAGGGCAAAAGGGCAATGGCAGACTTCAAGACAAGGATATCAGGGGTTAGTTTTAGCCAGATATTAATTTTGTTCCTGAATCTGGAATTGGTTGATCCATCAGTTTGTCCCCTCAGAGCTGCTGTCTAAAATTTTACCATACCATCCTGAGATAAAAAAAAATCAGAATCTGGACAGCAGACCAACAAGGCAGGTCCCAGATACCCTGTTCAACCTCCAACGAGTGAACAAACCAACACACTTTATTTTTAAAGGGTTAAAAATTAGGCACGCAGGCCTGTCTTACATTCTTCTAAGCATTCATCTTTCAATTGCCAGTTGCATTTTAAATAAGCATAGTATGTTAATGTGTCAAAATTTATTGTGTAAATTTAAATAAGAACTACAGAGGCATGGATGATAATGCATGCCTTAAAATATACATGCAAAAATACTGACACATCGCAGACACGCGCAAGCACACACTCGTACACAGCACCATTACACACCCTTGACCTATCTCGTCAGCACTCCTCTTGTGGTTTCTTTTGGACTTTTCTGTCTTTTCCTATTTAAGTGCCTGTTTGATGATTCTCTGTTCGCTTCTGCTCCAGATATGCCCTGTATATATCCATCTTTTTTGTTTCAAAACTGTTGTCCAGACATTTCTCTTATTTCTTTACGTTTCTTAACTTTAGTGTTCATCACCCCTTTGTGAGTTCCGGGGCCCTTTTATAGGGAAAACAAGAATAGACCCACTGCCTACCCAAAAGCATGTCGTAAGAGTTGACTAATTGGGAGCTTCCTTCGAAGTCAGAGTGCATCTGCCTGAGAGGCAAGGAACCAACAGTCTGCACACAGATGTGTCAGATCTGTGAACCGATGCACACGCAACACTCAGGTTCTGGAACAGGACTGCAGTCCAGAAGTGGACAAACAACCAGAACTTTCTACTAGAGTTTACAACTGGTGAACGCAAAGAAGAAGAATTTCCTTAGGTATTAGAGGTTATTCTTCCCAGAGAGTAAAGAATTCATTATTACTCATGCAGGTTGTGATCGGAGCAGCATTCTCTAAAGAACCTACTATTTGGTGATTGGTGCTGGTGTTGTAGCTAGACACTGGCTTGTCAGCCTAAAGGTCCTTGTTATCATAAACCGCTTCTGCCGTTAAGCGTAGTAGGGAGGAATAATTTATGATCCAGTGCACACTGGCTGGCACAGGCTATTGTCATGCTGTAAAGGCGTAAAGTGTCTTTAATGTTGTCAACCCATATTTTTGGTGGCCGTCCTCTTCCTCTTGTAGCTAATCTTCTGAGATGTAGTGCCTGTAATGGTATTTGATGATGCTGCATTCTAATGAGATGACCCAAAGCCCCTTAGGTTTCAATCCATATTGAGTTCGCTTTTTCTTTCTTCAAAATCTCAGGTTAACCCAGCCTAAAAGGGTACCAGGTAAAGTCCTGGGAAGTAAAGGTGGCTGGTATGAATTTTGGCCATCTGGCCTATAAAATAGGATCCTAGCATCATATGTTCCACGCAGCATCGGAATAAAAAGGGATCCTTTAATGTTGGCTTACTTGATGTTTGTTCTGTGAGTAAAGTAAGTAAAGAACCATTTTCACGCCATCAGGTCTTTTGGGCGTATAGGGCAATTCAATATTTTATAGACCAATCCTTGGACGGGGATGTGGTCAGCATCACGCCGGCCACCTTTACTTCCCAGGACTCTACTTGGTACTCATTCAAGGCTGAGTCGACCTGGGAGCCAAAGCCAGTGTAATTTTTTTTTAAAAGTCTGCTGCCGTCAGGACCCAAATTCTGTGAGTAATAAAATGGAAAAACGGTAAAACCTCCCTTAAGAAGAAAATTTGGTTCAAATGAAAATAACTTTGGTCTCGGCAGGGATGTATTATTATGAGTCCATGGTTTTCCTTTGTGTAGGAGGACAAGAGTAGACCCATTGTCCCAGTAAAAGGCGTATTGTTAAAGTCGACAAATAGAGGTGTTTACTCCAAAGTTGCAGTGCATCTGACTATGAGGTGAGGAACCAACAGCCTGCATATAAATAAGCCAAATCTGTTAAATAGATGCGCACGCAGAACTAAAGTCCAGAAGTGAAAAAACAACCAGAACACTGTTGGAGTTTACAGATAGTGAACACGAAGCAGAAGAAAAGAAGTACCAGGTTAGCACAGAACTATTTTTAAGCACAAACTTAACAATTTTTTTTTCAGTCCCTTGCAGTTTATTTTAATAAGGTTTTTCTATAGTATAAATATTTTTTTTTTCAAAGAATTTTTTTCAAAGAATTTTTTTTTTTAATAATTAAAAAAAAAAATGATGACTGTTAAAATCATTATGGACAGAGAATAAATCAGACGCTACAGTGTTGCCTGATCACTTACGTAAACCATGAGGGAAAAAATTTAAGTTTGAAGAGCAAGCACATCACAAGAAAAAGGTAAAAAGAGTGTAAAGAGCAAAGAAAAAAGTGTATTGAGGACTAGTATCTGGCCAGGGAATAGTAGCATAATTAAACATTAAACTCATTAGGATAATTTATTTCAGTGAGCAAATCCCATAGTTGTCCACATCAAGTCTGATTTTTTTAGGTTTTAATTAACCTTGGCTGTAAGACTGACCCAGCCTAAATTGGGTACTAGGTAATGTCCTCGGGAGTAAAGGTCACTGACATGATGTTAACCGCCTCAGCCACTGAGTGACAAAATGTAAGTTTAGCAACTATGACTTATGTTTGTTAGTGAGTTTTTCCTCTTGTGTCGAGTGCGGCACATAGGGCAGAGGTCATGACTCTCCATGCATGGCGGTTCATTGCAATCTGTTGTAGGTCTTGGATGTTTGAGTGGCCCATGAGTGAGCCTTCCCTGATGATAGTTCTACGTAAGGTTTCCCTTGGTCTTCCACGAGATCTTTTCCCCTGTGGTGTCCAAATGAGGGCTTGGTAAGGAAGTCTTGATTTATCCATTCTAAGGGCGTGGCCGACATAGTTCCAGCGGCGTTTTCTTATAAAATTAGACACATACTCTTGCCTGGATTCTTGCCTTATTTCCAGGCAAGACTTATGTGACACTGGTATAAATAGAATCCTTTACTTTTTTATTTGTGTCAAATGCATAGCTGTAGTCAGCTGAATTTTGCTCCAAACCAGGGCTATGAATGAAGAAAATGTATATGGTGAAAAGTGTGCAATAAAATTTCTTCATGCATGTGGGTTTTTCTTTCAGCTCACGGAAAGCGAAGACAAGAAAGGGAGCAGCCAGCAAATACCAGCTGGTGTGGTTTACAAAAACAAAAAGTCGGCCAAGCAGAGACCGCACACAACTCATGCTGATCAGATGCGGTCTGCTCGGGTAAGTAGAGCAACTGTGAACTGTAGCAGTATAAATTGAAACTTTCCAAATGTATAAAGTGTGAATTCATATGAATTCACCAAGCTCAGATTGATGCTAAATCAAATGGGTCAGCCAACCAGGCAGACTGTACTCCAGTGAATGCCAGGCCACTACAACATTAAGGGAAGTGAAAGAGCAGACTGCTTAGCAAAAATTGGAATTCATTCAAAAGAGCCAGATACAGGGTGCACCTAGGAGGGAAATAAAACTCAGATTATGGTAGCTATTAGAACCCATTGGAATATTTTCCATTCAGAACTCAATCCAGAAAATCCAATCAGCCTCCTCGCGTGAAAGAAACAGACCATATCTATTTAGATTACAAACCGAACACCGCAGACTCTGCAGCCATATTTACAGGATATTCAAGGTAGGTAGGTAGTTGTACCCAATCCGGATATCACACAAGCGATAAACACCCGGTGACACAAAGTGCCACCATGCGGATGAGGATTACCTGTGGAGAGGTCCCAGAAACCCCTTTCAGCCGTTATGGCCATATCTATGGCTAGGCCATATTTTTGGCCCAGCTATATTAAAGCTTCTAATAACAAAAATTTTTATCCCACATTGGGACGACTTAGAAAAATTCAAGGATGAGGATTCAGGCTGCACAGAATACTGAACCTGTGCTACAGACATGCTGGCCGCATGCGGTAGAGAGATCCTAGGTTTGGCTGGTTGGCATTCCAGTAGAAACCAAGCTGCGTGGAACAATGGAAGACACGCGTCGCTCCACAGACTTCAAAGTGGCCTGTGGCCTTTATGTCTGAAAACCACTGGCAGGGAGAATGAAAAGAAGCAGAAGGGAAATAATCCATATTGTGAAAGAGGCTTCAGTACATTGCACTGTTGCAGCTCCTCAGATTAACAGGTCACCATAGAAATAATGATAATATTTCATATTTCCACTGACTTAATCATAACCATGTAATTTGCAGAAATTTACTTTCACTGTTTTGTTTTCCTCTTGTTAGCCCCCTCGGCCACCTCCACCCTCCAGAGTGACACAGTTGGAATATGAGAGAAGGTAATGTTTCTGTTTAAAGTTATTAATAAGATACTTAACTTTTTAAAAGGAATGAACGAACAAATAAATGAATGAGCAAACTTTATTTCTAAAGGTTCACAAATTGGGCATTTATGCCCATCTTACATTACATCTGGCTCTTCCATGAAGAATGTAAAGATGTTTGCGATAACGATGAATCTTCTTCTTTTGTTGTCTCACTGATACCAGGTTGTAGTCCAGTGTCATGGTTCTCTGTATTTGTCTTACGCTTCTCTGGTGGCTTGGGTGATGGATTTGTTCATCTTTTTGCAGGTTTCAGCTACACGGTTTATCCATTTCTTGCATGGTTCTCCTCTCACCATCCTCCCAGAAATTCTGCTCTAAAAAGCCTTACAAGCAGAATGGTCAGGCTGCATTCTCACAAGATGGCTGAACTATTTCATTCTTTGTTTGTCTGTATAATTCAGACATGGTTTTATTCCAACTTTCTCTCTAATGCTATATGAGGACATAAGAGTGCATGGGCATTTACAGCTCGCTCTTAAGGCAGAACAGTTCAAGAAGCCAGCAGTACCTTCTCCATGACCACCAGCAGCATGACGATGGAGGTGATGGCGGTGACACAAGCTTTCATGTGGCTAGAATCACAGGACTATTCCCGCGTGTGTGTGCATTCTTTGAGAATGATCCGGCGGGTCGAGCAGACAGGGGTTTGAGTCATTGCGAAACTCTCCTGTGTGTGCAGTTACCTTCATCATATTTGTCCCAGGGGATGCAGGCCTTGTGGGTAATTAAAGAGCTGATAGACTTGCAGGTGCTGCATTAATTGAAGATGGCCGGCCCATGGATCACGCAGACATTGACATTGCCCTTAGCGAGATAGGATGTTCTGAGGATTTTGGAAGCAACGTGTCCACATCACTGCTAAGAATACGAGAATTGGGAGTGAAGATAGGCACAGTCAAGCATGAGAAGCCCACCGGACGCACACAAAGTCTTGTTAACCAACACAGGACTGGCACTATTAACCGCACAACGCTGATGAATATGTTGAGAGGGGAATCTGAGCGCCTATGGATGTGTCCGGAGTACTGTGAAGATAATCCAACTCATAACTAACTCTCTAATGCTGGTATTCATAACCCTGTCTCTTCTTTTGCTAGTGACCTTTGGGAAACAGCACATTTCACATGTAATTTTCTGTTCTTGTGCCCTGTTTATTGTCCATGATTGGCACTGATAACATAAAGTAGGGACAAAGATGCTATTAATCATCTTCTGTTTTGCTGCAAGGGAAACATTTGAGTATCTAAGCAGTGGGACTAACTGGTAGGTTACAGCATTTGCCTTCTGTACTCTGGCTTTTGTCTCTCTGTAGAATCTGCCATCTTCCATCCTCAGTCCTTGAAATAGAAAAGCAAATTTCGAGATATTACAGACATCATGGAACCATTGGTCCGATTTAGTCTGAGGCAGCATGTGAATGAATATCATCATCAGTCAGCAGGATCTTAAAAGACCATAGCTCTCGTCACGGCACGCCTGAAAGTCTCTCTTTCTCTAGTCATTTGTCTAGCCCTATGTGCTTTCATAGCCAATGCATAGCAGGATGCTTTTTATGAGCCAGTTCTCCTCAATGTTCAAAACATATAGGATGGTGAATGAATGGCATAAAGAATGAATGAAGAATTGATACCTGTCACAACCCTGTGAGTACAGTCAGTGGCGGAATGTACCACACCGTAAGGTGTGCGTGTTGAGATGACACCCCAGGGTTGACACAAAGGTCAGGGCCGTGACTGGTCAAGTCTGTTCTGTTATTGCACGGCGAAACCAACGCTCAGGATAAAGCGTTTGGCCACGGCAAGAAAGAGTGAAATGTGTTGTGGACAAATCCGCAACACGATTACCGTTTTTGGGACTGAGCTGGTGAACGGGGTCAAGAGACACGAGGTAGAGAGAACAGGGACATTCGGTGTGCGTCGGTCAGGGAGAGAGGACGTTTAGCAAGACAGTGATAGGATTAGAGTTAGGATATTTCTGTTAGTGACTGGATAGTTTATGTACAGTGTTCTGTTAGAATAGGATAGTTCTTGTGTAGAGTATTTATGTACATGTTCTGTGAGAGAATGTCTAACCTTGGCACTCTGACCCTGTGCTAGACAGAGGCTGTGACAGTTTGGTCGGTCAGTGTGTCAATAGGTAAGAGCGTATCTCGTCGTGCTGTGGTTTGTACACCAGGAGATTGCTTGTGGGACTTACTGGGAGCGAGGTGACTGTAAAGCTAGTTCAGCCAGAGGGTCCAGGCAATAGGTGGCCACACAGCTGGAAGTCAACAGTCTATTGTCTTACCTGTACTTACAGTAAAGATTGTCGTGTGTGCTCTGTGTGCGTTCGGGTTCAGTGTGTGTTAAAGGTTAGTCTGTCTGTCATAGGCCCAGTTACGAGCCATGGACCAGCAAGGTCACCCAGAGGTCTGTGACAATACCACTACACTCTGGACATTACCACCTGTGCTCCATCCCCTTCTTCGACCGCCAACAGATATTGACCTTGCTGATAGTGCTAGAGCCAACCTGATCAATAGTCCGCTGATTCTATTCCCTTTTTGCTGATGGTCATCCAGTGGTTAAGCAGTTTTCTCCCATGCTCTGAAGGTCATAGGTTTATTTCTTTCAGTTTCCATGTGCAGATTTTACCAACATCCCTGGGGATCGTCACTGGATTGTCTGGAAAGATGGAAATGTGCCAATCACATTATGCTTGTTAAGGGTCAGAGGTTTAACCCTCCCCTTCACCCCCCCCCCCCAATTACAGCCTAGGGTAGGAGGGGGGATCTATAGAATATTTGTTGTTGAAATAAATGGTTGTCTTATAGTGTACACATATGTCCTAATGTTGTTTTGCAGGAATAAGTCAGTTTTACAAGACCACGATTCACACGATGTTCATCTCAACTATCAGCGAGTGGACATGAGTTTGATGAATGACACTGACATTCAGGCTGCCATGCAGACATCAGCTGGTCATCCAAAGATCAGTAACCAGGCACAGGTATGTTTTTTTAATTGACCCTTTTGTCCCGAGAAGCGCAAACCAACACCTCCCGCTGGGGAAAATTCCCCGCAAATGCATAACTTTTCCTACTCGTCAGTAGTGACTTGTTTACAAGACGTGTGGCTTATGCTATTGGCTGTGTTCATGTATGTGTAGTCATTTTATAGGTCAGGATTTTAAAAGATTGACTAAAAATAGCATCTTGGGCTGGGTTTTAAAGCCAAGCTGACATTAAATTACCCCATATGATTTAGAAAAAGAGTCTTCCAGTACATATATATTTTTTTACACCTGAGGAAATGTAATCCAGTTTATACTTCACTCTGTTTATGTTTATTGATTGATCCTTTTACATCTTTATAGATTCTGAAAAAAAAATTTCATTACTATATTTATTTTAAAATGAATTGGTAACCTGTGTCAAGTTGTTTTAAAGGGGTTTATTTTAAGAATTCCTACCGGGTCTTGGCCCATTTGTTTTAGCGTTTCCAAAGTGAACTTCCCAGAAAATGCCCAGATTAATAAATGGATTAATAACCACAGCTTTTGATTATAATGACATCTAGTGTGTCCTTCTATCTCTGTGCTTGTTTCTTTTGCATCTCTTATGTGAATACTTGTCTACAAATGACACCTTTCACATTTTTCAGGAGCTGAACTCAAGTGATGAAGAAAGCGAGAGTGAATCCAGTGATTCAGAAGAAGCCAGAATATCTTTTGGTGTTATGCATAGCTCAGATGAAGGTATGTAAAAGATTAGTTAGTCTTCCTGAAATAGTTTAGTGCTCTTGTATGGCTGCTGAGACATTGGTGTCAAGCTGGTTTTAATAGGTTTTGGAGTTTTTGAGACTATGGATATAATATATTAATGCATATCACAAACTTAGCTGCCTTTCTCTGGGCGCGAGTGACGGCTCCAATTCATGCCGTGGCCATTCTCACAGGCTGTCCTATGTTCTAGGGTGTTAGCATATGCATTCCTTCCCCTCTAACGTCTGTGCACACTGTGTGCAATGTTCTTGCTTGTTTTATATCGTTATCAGTATTTTATATTTGTTTTATGTCATTATTATTAATGTTTCCACGTTTTTACTGTTTGTTTAATGTTTGTTTGATATCTTTCTTTTTTTAAAATCAGTATTCCACATTTGTATTGTATCATTGTTATCAATGTTTCATGTTTGTTCTATATCATTCTCATCAGTGATCCAGTTGTATCATTGCTCTCAGTGTTCCAAATCTTTTTCATCAATGTTCTATGTTTCTGTTATATCTTTGTTACCCGTGTTTCTTTTTTGTTTTGATATAGTTGTTGTTGCGGACATTAGTATGTGAATTCATGATAAAATTGACATTTACAGTGTTCACAGCGTAAAAGGACACCTTCTCCCCATCAGACGTATGATGTTAGACATATTTTTAAAAGACCAATCAGCACTCGGTGGGTGATGTAGACAAAATCACACTGGGCACCTTTTCTGTTTGTTTTGTTGGGTCATTATCTGGTACACTTCTGGGCTTTAGCATGGCTTGGTACTCAAAAGTTCACACACGTATGCATTTTTAGTAACTTAATGAATATGCTTAAAAAAATCCAAGCTGGATTTATCAGGCAAGAATGGATTAAAACACTAAGCACTTCACGAATATCTGCCCTAACCTTCATCTTTGTGCCAGGTCATGCGGGTAAGCAAGGGGACGAGCGTGCAGACTATCTTGCTGACACTGCAGTTGCTATGGCTGGTCCAGTACTGGACAGAAGTGATGTTATCAATGCCATGCGCTGCACTTACCGTACCGAGGAACATGTCAAAGGACATGACTCCGTATCCCTGTCTAGACTGATGGATATGAGGGTGCAGCCTGGAGCTGCAAGAAAGGAACAGGTGTCATCAGTCATTTTACACTTGTGGAGCCTTTGAGGAGGAGATCGGAGCACCTGAGGATCTGTCCGGAGTGCTGTGATGATAATCCTTTCTAATCTAATCACTCCTGTTTTACGCTGGGGGTTTACCCGAAAGCCAAGATCAATTTTCAACAACAACCAAATCAGATTTGGTGGGAATTTTAACATAAGATCCTTAGACTGTCAGGTTAGTTTCTGGTCTGTACACTACCTCATCTCCTCTGTGTTGATTATGTAACCAACAAAACTGTATAACCTTTTTTGCTATGATTCCTTCAGGTTTGAACTCGACACCTTCAAGTGATGAAAGTTCGCTTAAACACCAACAAATTTCAGACAGAGGTAATGCCATTTGTTACATATGTTTACCTTGGTGACTGCTCTTTGAGTATAATGTTGCAAAAGAGTTGTAAAAGTTTACTGGGTGTAATGTGGTCAATGTGCTGCATTCCAGAGATGTTGGGAGAGAGGAGTCAGAGACGATGAACCACTTGTGGGAAACGGGTATTAAGTGAGGACAAGCATGTAAGAGCTGGTTGCGGGGCCACACACAAAAAAATTGTTTGCTGGATACGATGAGCATGGAAACACTGAAATGGCTGCTGCATTGGAGGATGGAACACAAATGGGCCGGACCAATGTGATAGAATGTTGATACAGACAACAAGTGATAGGTTAATGTGATTAGACATGTCTGACCTAAGCGCAGTTGGGCGAGCATTTGACTAAAGACCTAGAAGTCCCAGATACAATTCTGGGTTCAAACAATTAACTAGTGCCAGCATAATTTTCTAAAGGCCTCATAGCCTAATAGATAAGGCCTCTGAAGTCTGTGTGTCTGTGGGTGTGTGTGTGTGGGGGGGGGAAGTTATTTTAGTAACTTTCTTTTAACCATTCAGTCATTAATTTGGTAGCTTCTTTCTGACGTTTTCACCATTAACTTTATAGTTTTCTTCAAAACCTTCAGTCATTAATTTAGTAGTTTTTTTCTCAACATTCGGTCATTAATGTTAATTACTATTAAATCTCATGATCCTTGTAGATACTCAAAAAGCGGCTGTGCCCCGTCCTGTAGCAGCACCTAGGACAAAATTACCTGCTGCTCACACTCGAGGCATTAGTCCTAGTCCTACAGTTGAGAACAGTACATCAAAAAATGCCCTACCTCAATCCAGCATCAAGAAAACAATGTCAGAGAATGCAATATCGAGCGTATCGTTGCCAGACGCACCACTCATCAAGTTTGACTCCTCAGAGTCTGATCCTACCGATTCAGATAACTTTGATCCTCTTGCCAAGTCTCCACACATGAGATCCGACACTGACGTTGGCGCCATGTCTATCAGTAATGACAGTCTGGAAGATAATGATGAAACTGACATCAGACCCTTGCAGAGAAGTGTCAGCTCTAGGGTGTCTCTGACAAGGTCTAAAGCTTTCAGGCGGGAAGCTCCACCAACTCCAATACGAACACATTATTTAGATGACACTGATGATATTGATGGTCTGAGGAAAAATGATCCGAGTGATATATTTGATCCATTGTCTGACTTGAACAATTTAACTGTATCCGGTCAAGCATGCGGAGCCTCGTCTAAGGGAAATGTAACTCGTCCAGTCCTGAATGATCCCCTGTCCAGTCGACACAGCTCCGACCTCCTCATGCATGAGTGGTCTCTTGCTTCACTAGCCAAAGGTCCAAGCATTAGAATGCCCATGTCTGCAAAACCTTTGGGGAGAAGCTATGCTTACAATTCTTTCCTGGGAGGTGCCTCACAGAGCACGCCTGCAGTTCAACAATCTCTGCCTGCTTCTTCATTTTCTTCACCTGCCTTGGACAGAAACCTACGCAATCAAAACTCAAGGGGACCTCAGCAGATTCCAAATCTGGGATATTCTTTAGACAGAAATACAACAGACTTCAGTAAAGTTCTTCAACCACAACCTCAGCAGCAACCAATCTTGTCTAGGTCTTCAAACTCAAGTCCCAGTCATAATAAAGTTGTTAATTTTCCCTCTACCAGTCAACAGTCTTCACCATCACCACGAACTCCTGCAACATCGAGTTTCATCCCTCCAACACCCTCATCCTCTGTTCCGTATATTCATGGAAGTATTAAACATAGCCAGCATTTCAGGTCTGGTGGAGTTAACTCAAGTCTCTCCAGTTCATCTTCTTCAGGGTCAAGTTTGCAGACGCAGAAGGACTACTTCTCTGATCTTCAGAACATTGATTTTGGTGGCGTCAAACCACCAGATCGCCCTACACAGCAACGGAAACCAGCTAACAGCAGAGTCTCACATCCGCATCAGAAATGGGAAACATTTGACTGAAAGTGTCAATCATAATTTAATACTCTTTATTGTTTTATTGGTCAGTTTTTGTGATGCAAGTTTTAGATCAGACTAGATGTCCATTCTATCGCCAATGAAGCAAAGCATCCAGTCCTCTAATTGCCAAACCTTGGTGTCATTTTTGCTTTGCGCCTTGAATATTTATTAGGTTAATATGGTTATCTATTATTTGAGTTGAGTTGAGTCAAGAATTGACATCACAGCACTTTGGCATTCTCATGCATGCTCCGCTCCGTTCTTATCTTCAGCAGCCAGTACAGAGTTCCAGTACTGATGGTACCAGTCACAATCTGGTTATATGTCCATCTTGCCTTTCCTCCGAGTGTAGTGAGCCGGCCAGAACCTCTGGTTACACCCAGGTGTCTTATTCTCTCCAGGTCATAATCTTCTTTCTCTACTGATTCTGTTGCTTGTTCCCAAAGGGCCTTGACCACATGTATCAGTTCACCACCCAGTGGTGCAGATCCAGCCAATCTGTCTGCCTGTTCATTACCCACTACACCAGCATGGCCTGGAGCAAAAATCCAAACTATGCTTTCTATCCGTGACCTTCCCAGTGAAGCTTGCCATTTTGCTCGAAGCATTCCTGTCTTCATCTTTTTCAGCATGCTTTCAGAGTCTCGTTACAATTACGACATGTGTATGCATCTTGTTCTTTAGCCACCGGAGAGCTGCAATTTCCGCCTTCATCTCCATTGTCATGCTAGATATTGTGATGTCGTGGTTGTCTATTAAAGACGATAAAACACAGAAAATTGAAATATCCTGGTCACTTGAAACGTCACAAAATTTAGAGAGAACAATAATGGAGGGGTATATGCCTGCAAAGAGAGGAAGAGGAAGGCCATAGAGAAGATAAGTGCAGGATGTGGCAGATGATCTCCAGATGGGTGTATCAGATGCAGGACATCTTGCTTCTGATCGAGAAGTTTTCTGGAGGGTTGTTATGGGAGCAAGGTTCTGCAAAGGACGTGCTACTGACTGACTGAATCTGGTGATGGCACAGCACCCGCAAGCAAATTAGAGTAACATATGTTGAGATCATTCATCTTACCTATGGCAACTTATAAGATGTGAGTCATGGGCTCTTAGTCAGTCACTGGAGAAACAAATCTGAGCTTTTGAACTGAAAATGCTGCAGAAAAATTCTTAAAATACCATGGACCAAGAAGAAGAAAAAACACCAACATATTGAATGTTCTAAGCATCAAAGGAAAATAGCTCATAAGCAGAATCCTGTCCCGAAGGCTGAGCTGCTGCGGAAGTGTTGAACATCTTGGTGGCCTGGGGAGAATGGTGATGACGGATACAGCTTCCAGAAAATGAAGCAGCGGCAGACCTGTACCAATGTGGATACAAGACATTGAGAATGCATTAACTATGAAGACATATAGGGTTGGAGAATTGACTACAGAAAGAGAGACTTTCAGGCGTGCCGTGACGAGCAATGTTCTGTGAAGGACCTGCTGATTGATGGTGACTGGGTCACGAGATGAACATACTTGTCACACTCAGTACTTTGTGTTTGGTCAGAAATACATTCCCGCAGTCATTAGCTTGTGTTTTCCATCTTTGAAATATAATGTTAAAAAAAAAAATGATTTACATCAAGCAAATAAAACCAAAAAAAATTGAGACACGAATGGTTATCCGATGATGTATTTTCAATTATTTGACGTGAAAGTCTCTACGCCTATAAACTATCGATGGCCCAGATGCAAAGAACTGAATTGATTGGTCGAACTCTTAAGGTATTCTTGTGTGCAAGTTTTACTTGTTAAATTGCAAAGATTTTAAACATCAAAATTGTGACAAAATAATGTTCCTTTCAGTAGATTTAAAAAGAAAAAATGTTTTAACTTTTTTTTTTTTAATAGTCTGTTTTGACCATGTTAACTCCCCACACGGTTTCCTGGGCCCTATTGTGGGGAAAACAAGAATAGATCTACAGCTTTCCCAACAGACATGTCATAGGAGTCGACTAACTGGGAGCTTCCTTCGAAGTCAGAGTGCATCTGCCCAAGCGGCGAGAAACAACCAACTACATTACACACAAATAAGTCAGTAAAACTGATTTACATGCAAAACTCAGGCCCTGGCACAAAGCTAAAGTCCAATTGGACGAACAACCAGGACTTTCCACCAGAGAGCTTACAGCGGGTGAACAAAGAAGAAGGAGACCATGTTAACTCTTTCTGCCCCAGAAGGTCCTAGCTGTGGTGGGTTTCGGGGCCCTGTTATGGGGTAAAACAAGAATAGACACACTCTTCGCTTTACCCATCAAGCATGTCATAAGAGCTGACTAATTGGAAGCCTCTTTCGAAAGTTGGAATGCATCTGCTCAAGCAGCAAGGGACAACCAACTGCACACAAAAATAAGCCAGTAAAACAGATGTGCACGCAAAAACTCAGGTACTAGCACAAAGCAAAAGTCCAAATAGACGAACAATCAAAACTTTCCACTGGAGCTCACAGCCGGTGAACAGAGGAGAAGTATGATGTGAGAGAGGCGGCATGACAACTACAAACACATAAGTACCACCACCAGGGGCCAAATACATGAGTACTTTATCACACATTCTGTTTGCAACTGTTGCTAAACATAAGACATAAAAATCTAATAACATTTTGAATCATATTTCTTGGGACATAACTAGTTAAAAGATTTAACAGTCTTATAAAAACCATGCAGGGGGGAAAAGTTGAAAGCAGACAAACACTAGGCAAAAGCAATAGAGTTGAGGAGATCTTCTTCACCTTCATCGGCTGTTACTCCAGCGTTCATCCATGTGTGGACTTTAGTCTTGTTCCAGAACTTAAGTTGTGCGTGCACATCCGTTTTACAGATCTGGCTTATTTCTATGCAGACTACTGGTTCCTTCCGTCTCAGGCAGATACACTCCAAATCAAAGGAAACCCCTAATTATTTGACACTTATGACATGATTGTTAGGAAGGGAGGCAGTGGCTCTATTCTTTCGTCCCCACCCTCATAATGGTGCCCCGGAAACCGACATGGTGATGGTTGGGAGATAACATTAGACAGAGCATGTTGGAAATCCATTGCAGTTAACCTTCAATGCGGAGAAAGTATATGTGATTGAGGTGATCCTGATTGCATGATAATCTCTCCCAGTCAGTAGAGACAATACCGAGTTGTTTTTTGTTCCATCCTAGTTTGCAGTGATGTGTATATATCTTTTACTCCACATAAAGTGTTGTATCTTATGTCAGAGTAAAAGCATTTTTCTGACATTTTTAAAGTGCTGGACACTTAGAGAAGTGGTTGTTTTCATATTGTGGTCATAGGAGTCAATGAATGACTGTCTAGTGTGTGATATTATTTAAAATACTTATTTTTACGGAGACCCCTTCAGATCGTTGCCGGAGCTACAGTGTTCATGCTTTGTGTGAGGCTGGCAGCAGGTATATTACTACACCTCCTTTACTTTTTTTTTCAGTGTCAAGGCCGACCTTTGCTACGATATAAAAATTAAAGATGTGTGCAAATGGGACAGGAAAGATACAGGTTTTGAGGTGGATTTGTGTGGGGACAAAATGACATGGACCTTGTTGCATGGGAAAGGGGGGGGGGGGGGGGGAACAGGAAGGGAATGAGAATGGAGGAAGAAATGATTGCAGGAAGGATGAGAGTTGAGCATCTGAGGAGAAACACACTGAATACAAATGATGGAAACAACGAAATGCAATGCTATGCTATAATTGTAGAAGTCTTTTCTTAACTTGGGTGGGTCTTTGCTAGTCACACTCACCATCGCTATGGGCTGGAAGCCCCATGCCTCCTCATAGCACAGTATAACACTGTTGTCTGGAAAGATGAAAGGCTGTCAATTAATTCTTTGAGTCCCAGAGGGTTTAGCATCCCAGGCTCAAGGGGTAATAAAGAGAGACGTAAAATCGGCGCATCTTGCATTTACTGGGTTTCTAGGTAGGAACCTATAAACGTATGATGCGCTCCTTGGGACTCAAAGAGTTGAGTTTACTTTTTTTTCAATTTTTACTTGCCTGTTAACTCTTTCTGTTGGCCTCTGTGGCTTAAGCATTGCAAACATGCTTCGTAGTGTCGGGTCAATCCCAGCTGCAGGCGGTTTGGCAGCAGACCATCTTGCATTGGTTTTTATAGTAGTATCGAGAGCTGACCATTTAAGAAACAGTGACAAACTAATGAACATAAAATTTGCCTAGAAAAACCACAACAGCTAAAAAACAATGCTGGGGTATGTTCTGCAACGTCCTGCAAAGGATACGCAACTAACTTTACTCTTTCTGTCCTACACAGCTGTCATGAAATGTATTTTCATACTTTATGTGTTTCATCAGAGCTTATTAAAGAAATCTGGCTACTTCAGAATCACTTCCATATGTATTGGGCCCCTCACTTTTCATAGTATTATTCATTTCTTCTAGTTTGTTCTTTGGGAATCTGCTGGTAAACCTTCTGAAACTGAAGGAGTTAAAAACAATGAAGGGGGAAAAAAAGGTTGTATGTTTAGTATTTGTGTATATCCTCAATGTTGAGAGACCCGTGTGTGTGTGTATATATATATATATATATATATATGTGTGTGTGTGTATATGTATAGCCTAAATGTTATAGAAAGATTCTTGGAATGCCATGGACACAGAAGAAGAGAATACTGACAAATTATAACACAAAGAAAGATTGGCCAGTACACAGCATCTTGTCTCGGAAGCCAAAATATTTTGGTCACATAAATCGCCATAGCGGATTAGAAAAATATTATACCAGAAGGCATGGCACCATGAAGGATAGGAAAGCCAACACGAAGATGGCCGCAGGATATAAGTGACTCCTTAAATATGAAAGCCCACAAGGGAGGAGAGTTGGTGAGAGATTGAGTTTCTTTCAGGCAAACCATGAAGATCTGCAAAGGACCTGCCAAATGATTTTATATATACATATATAAATGTGTGTGTGTATATATTTGAGTAGTAGAA